TTTAACACACACAAATATATATTAGACAAATAAAAAAGATGAAAACACGAACGTGTGTCATTCGGGAGTCTAACTTTGGTAACATGAACACATTGCAGACACGTTGGATTCCAATTTGAAATTGTTTACATCAAAGTGGACATGATTGGGCTGTGTTTATTCATCGTCTGGGATTTGTTTACACCATCCGGACATTTGCTCATGCAAGAACCCTACGAGTGAGGATAAGTAATTGATTATTGATCAAATTTTGCATAAGTCAGCGACGCCAAGTTATCAGGGAAAAAACTCGCGGCGCACCTACACGAAAAATATGCTGCCTCAAAACACAATTTTATCATCGTCAATGTGTACTTTATGCCTTTTAAGGTTATAAACATGTAGGCCCAATGAATAAAGGCAAAAAGTTAACGTTTAGGTCTTATCCCTGCCTGGTTTTTCTTTAAGATGCTATAAAATCTCTCATGTTCGATAATCTCTGTTCAACAAAAATAGACCCTACATAAAAGAAAGTGAACAACATAGAGCGGTAAAATGAATTTGATTCATATATATACACATCATTTGCAATAATGAGAAACAATAAAACATTAAGAATAAATAAAATATGTGAAATATTCAATAATATATTAGTTAATATTTCACACACATATCCTAATTTTCGAGGCGCACTTTGCAAATCGCCTTCGGGGACCGCTGGCTTAACGATTAAAGCCGGCATTATAATGCAAGCACGCGTAAATTGAGTCTTACGATCAGAATTTTCATTGGTATGCGAACGCGAATATTCACCCATCTTCACTTCAACCTCCCTAAAAAACTTGGTCGATGGTGCATTTTTTACCTAGTCCCGTGGTTCTTAAAGTGCGTCGTTTCAATTTTTCAACCAACTCCGTTTCAACCAACCCATATCTTCTACTTTTACTGAAAAAAAGTAAGAATAAATCGATCTTTCCTGTGATTGTGTTTTAAAAAGCTTAATTCTTAATATGCGGTTTTCTGTAAATAAAGATTATTTTTCCTTGGTTCAAAAAGTGTTGCGCACTCTCATTCCCTTTGCGATTTCGTATTAAATAAAACAGGCTTTTCTAACAAGGCCCATTTAATGTAATTTCACTGACTGTCGTTAGGTTTGGTTTGTTCGTTTATATCAATTAAACTCATTGCAAAAAAGGATTTCTATTGAAGGGTAAAAATCTATATATACGTATTTTCACGGAGAGCCGCAACTTGAGAATATTTTTGGAGGGCATCACAATAAAATGATGAGAACCACTGAGTCCCAGTTGATAGCAAGAAATCTTTTCTACTTTTTTAATGGTTAATAATCTTTATGTAGCATTTTTTTATTGAAAACGTGCTATTTATACGTAAATGGAATTTGGTATATTAAAAATTATTCTCGTTATTCTCTACACCCCCCAGAAATAAGCCCTAATGTTATTTTTAAAAGAAAATTGAATACACTGTGGTATTTTCAGGGAAACACGGGATGATGATGTATTTTTACCCCTTTGTAATTGTGAAATTTTTGTTTTACACTATTTTCAATAATTGTATTTCGAACCAAGAGTGAAAATATACAACAGATATAGTACTTTGTGTAAAATTGGTGTTAAAAAAGTTCGTTTCACGGTCGCTTCCATGGCTGCGGCCCCTAGTATGTGAAGCCCTGGTCTAATTAATCCAGGAACCGACATGGACTCGTAACCAAACGAGGTGCGGTGGTTCGTCATATATGATTAAGCTGTCTTCGCGGCTTTCGAATTTTGAACAATTGGGTGTAAACACGATGCTAGGTAAAGTACGCCAGAGCTGTGCATTTTTTTTTTTATCTGTTATTGATTCTAATGAAAAAACCTGTTTTTTGGCTCTTCTTCCTTTCTAAACTATTGATAGCACTGTGCCAATCTTCATATGAATAACAACTTAGTGATTCAATCATACATTTATTTTTATTATTCACTAACATTTGAAGAAATTTCACCACAAAATCAAAGATAAACAGAAATCAGACGATTTTAAATTGTACTAAAAGCCTACAACAGAGGTTCAAATGCTGGCGGAAAAACAAAACTACAAATTACAGAAAATTCAACACAAATCAGGAAAAAGCGAGCAATATAGCCTACCAAGTATGACTATTTTTTTTTCAAATATTATCAATAATACCATACACTTTGCTATGAAAAAAATAAATTGTTAAGTCACATAATTGATATATTTTATAAAGGATATATAATATTGGATATTATCAGTACCGTACCCAATTGGACAATACCGGTACACCTCTTCATCTTCATTATAATTTTCCTTTACAAAAAAAATCGTTTTTTTCAATCCAATCATTTGATATGAATTCAATACTAAATAAAATATACCTAGGATTTTAAAAATACTACAGTTTTAAATATATACCTACAAGAAATTGGCAATTTGAAATATCATACATATACAATTATTAAGAAGAGGCAATAAGATTGAAAAGTGCTAAAATCCTTGAATAATTAATTATTAAAATTATTAAACTAACTAATCACATTAAACAGTCAAGACTAATTGAAGAAATACTATACAAAAAAGGTGACTAATTTGAAGTATCGCTAGACAAAAAACATGAAGGAATCATTTAATCGCTGATCGAAAACCGATATGTATTTCATGATAGGCAGATAAATATTACGCTACTGATATAATACAATGATCACAATTTTAAAAAACATTTTGCATAAAATATGTCACAATGAACAATTTTGCCCAAAATTATACTAATGTTGGCAATAGAATATCTTTTGAAAGAAAAGTACGTAGATAATCACGAATGTAAAATATCTGCTAGAGTAAGATGACCATAATTAAATCACATATGATAAAGTTGCACTTGGAATTATACTAAAATGTAAAATCATTGTACTACGCTAATTACAGGTTGATTATAGAAGCAGCATGAAGATTTAAACTTGGCACTGGTTTTATTATTTCACCACCAATGAATGAGACAATTTTAAGTCAGGGGTGTGCAACCTTTTTTACAGGAGAGCCAGATATAAGTAACTGAGTGAAGCGTCGGGCCGCACCTAGGAACTCTACCTACGAAAGGCTGTGGATACAAAAAATCCAACCTACATATTTCTTCTCGTAAATATATTGCTTCGTCTAACATAAGATTTTCTACATACGAAAGGCCAAAAACCGAAAATTTGAAAAATGCGTGTAGTACTATTAGTCTATTTCAGGTTAATATAAATGCAGTGCTTGAATAAGGGATGTCGTCCGTCGAATATTGTTTTTCGTGTTTATATAAAATCCCGAATATGGAGCACATATCCTAGCGCCTCCGTACATGTTTTGATTTAAAACATGTTACAGTTGTATTCATTACCACAGCTTATGGCGACCTACTTAACTTTAATTTAATTTTCTTTTGTTTTTTTATGACATAACACAGAACACAGCAATGTCTAATCATCGCAAAAATACCGTGTTTCCTTGAAAATAAGACCTAGCCTGAAAATAAGATAATGATTTGAATTTTTAAAATGATTTTCATTGAACCCTACCCTTAAAATAAATTTTAAAATGTGTGGGAGAGGAAAGGTTCATTGGCCTGAAGTAAGGTGAATATCACACCACTATTGAAGATTGTGTGATGTCACAATCACAATTATGATATTTGTCACTTGATTTTTGTATAGGAAATACAAATAAAAACAATGGATGTCGGTTTTTATATAATGTTTAGTAAAAAATCTTGTGATTTTCTACAATGTAATTTTATTTTATTTTTATGAACGCAAAAGACCTCTTCCAAAAAAAAACATAGTGTTATTCTTCAAATAAAATAAATCTAAATCCTGTCTGAATTTCGGGGAAACACGGTAAGAAGTGCTATACAGTGTACCAAACTGCTATGTGTAAAAAAAGCCACATGGTCATTTTTTGAGGAGCAAATTTTTGTTCCTTTGAGAAGATCGTAAAAAGGAAACTTTCACAGATTAGAATTTAAATTCAATTTAATTTTTTTTTTTAAGATTTACGTATTCGAGTCGCCACCGATCCTAATAACCAGTATAATTAATAAAAGCTTTCTACATCTTTTCACGACCCACTAAGATTCCTTTTGCTACCCACCAGTGGGTCGCGACCCATAGTTTGGGTAGAGTTTCTACTGTAGATGCAAGCATAAAAATTGTTTCATTTTGTGTTTGATCCTAGGACATCGTTAGAAGTCCTTGAAGAAATGTTGAGTTAAAACGCATAAATTTCTAAAGAAAATGGCTTCCCGAATTTTGTGTCACACCGGCTTTAAACGAATTCAATGAGAAATTAGTTTTTATATCATTGTGTATTTTGCAACATGATTTTGCTAGCTAGTTTTGTCAATATGACAGTGGTACTCATATACTGGTATGAGCTTTGTGATGTAAATAGATTGGAATCGCTCGCACGTGCCAGATTAACTAAACTAAAAATTCGTTTTGCGGGCACACTATTCAAAATTGACACTTCTCCGTGGGCCACCCAATTTTTGTTTGCGGGTCACATTTGGCCCGCGGGTCGCAGTTTGCACACCCCCCCGTTTTAAGTGATAAAATAGCGTAACATGTACCATACTATATAGGGTAAACCACCTGAAGCTAGTGATAGCGAGGAAGACAATTTTCCCACACTAATGTATATCACAGGTCTGTATTCATATATATATATATATATGTTACTTTTTATGCTTTTCTTAGAACAAGGCTCTGTGCACAGTCAGTCACTGGTATCTGACGACACGTGGGGAGGAACTCTTATTCAAAAGTACCAGAATATTTCCGGTTTGAATTTGCCTACTCAATTTATTACACTCTGAGTGAAGTGGAGGGAATCGTATTTGAACCAGAGATGTACATATTCAATAAATAACTTATATAGATAAGACTCTATTATATATTATATAGATAGGTAGACCTCAAATTGCCTGTGGGGGACAAATGTAAATAGACCGTATACTGCAATAGCATCCAATTTAATTTTTTAAATCAGAAATTCATATTACCAATGAATAGGAAAAGTAATCCTACTCACAAAACAAAATAGAAACTAGAAAAGTTTTACAAAATCATAATTACGTTGCTTTTGACATAATTGCCATTCAATTGAGCAAAGATATTATGGTGATAAAACTAAACCATCTCTAAATTTAATACACTATAGTTTTATGATAATAATGAAGTGAGTTATATAGACATCAGGAAATTGAAGTTCGGATTACATTAACGAGAGGGTGTGTACGTCTTAGACAATCGTGTACCCGTATCATATGATTAGAATTTAAAAAAAAATTAGTTTACCGAGGAAATTTAATTTATTCATGAGTAATGACATTCCAAATTTATTTTCAAGAGTACAAATAATTAAAATAATGTTATTTGATACAGTTTACCAATAATTGTTACAAAATCACCATCACATAAATTTTTCACAAGAAAAGATTCAATTTATATTATTTTTTCAAAAAATGAAATGCAAAACAATACGAAAACAGTTTTAAACATAAAGTGCCTAGTTCACGGAAACAATGATGGTACAGTGCACAGAAACTGTAAATTGACTGATATTTCAATGTCTTGTATGGCATGAACAACATGTCCAACTGTTCTTATCTGCCAGCAGCCTGTTGCATCATAGCAGTGGCATATGTGGGTCTGGCTTGTTTATTTGCTATAGCACGAAGCAAATACTCTCTTCCTCCACTTGAAGCCCATACCTGACAACAACATACAGAATTTACAAACTGTTCGAGTACGATGATTTGCAATAATAAAAAAAAACTTAAAGTCTTAAAAAGAGGAGAAAGAGAAAAGAAAATACCATTTGTTTATTTCTTTGACTTCAAAGTAAAAATAGTTATTATTAATAATTGATGTTGTGATAATGCACAAAAATAACTGGCTAATAAACTGTCTGGAGAAGGTATCGTGCCTAAAAGCTTTGAATTCTGGATACGATCGAGGTGGCACAAGTTATGAGTTGAGTATATCCTCGCATATAAGCCCATCTTGTATATAACCCGACCCCTTAAAATGATGAAATTATAAAATTCCTGTATAATCCAACCCTACAAATCGTAACGCATCGTATTTACTAGGAAAACAGACTTTTGAGACTTTATCTATCATTTCCTAACAACGATCTGAAAAGAGCACGGGTTCATAGTGGTACTATTAATAGTATGACCAAAAGAAATTGATCTTACAAAAGTGATTATCTTCAAGTATTTTAGAATGAATTTAGTTTCCAAAATTTTCACTAACTTGTTCAAACTCGTGCTGTAGTATTTCAGCCCCTTTCTTTCTTGCTAAGCCAGTTTCTTCAAGAGTTAATTCACAAATCCGAATGTCATCCTTGCCTGAAAAATGATAATAAAATTTATGACTAACATAATGTTTTTCACTCAAGAATCAATAGAATAACAGAATTGATTGTAAATGTGAGCACAGGCATATGTTGCTCTCTACCTAATAAAATAGCCATATATTTTACATGTAAACATATGTAGAACACATATCAAGCATGATGAATTGACTATGACATCACAGTTAGTTTTTCCATTTGCTATGATAAGGCCAAATTTAATGTTGTTTGACATTATTGAACCGGAAATATAAAAAACACATTTATATTATTGTAACAATTCATAGTTTGGATTAGAGATGGGCAATATAAAATAATATACTATTCTAGAATACTTAAATCGAATCCACATTACCTGTTCTATTTTAATCGTTATTCAAATGTGGGAATTCTCCCACTATATTGATGGATTACAATTTTAAATAGGCAGAATTGATTGGATTTTATTTGTTACCAAACCGGACAATGGAATCTATGAATTTTAACAAATTACTTTTTGCCTTGAATTGTTCAAAATTTATGGGATCTCTTAGTTACCTTAGTACTTTTATGTTAAAATATATAGCGCATTAATACAATTCGATACAAAATTGCAAAATACAAATATTAGGTATGGGATGACATTAAATTATTCTTAGGCTAATGTTAGAGCGCCAAAAACACACAGGCCAGGCTTAGGCCACTGCAATTTATGCGGCCCCAACGGGTGCCACACTTGTTAGGGCGCGTTAATTAATGGTGTAAAATAAATTTAACGACTATCAATTATATTCAGGTACATCAGCGTGTTTATTTTCTGCGAGCAAGACTCGTAAAATAACGTCTATAGCAAATCATTTCTATTGCAAAGTCTTAATTTTCATTTAATATCGTTATATATCTACCCATACTTGGCGATACGCTTTACAATTTACATAATGTCCATCAACTGTCGTCACCACATGTGGCAACTTTTTTAATTTATCATCGACTAAAATACAGCCCGACACTCGATCAAACGTGTGTCGAGCATGAATGATAAGAACATATTCATCGGCCACTTAAATTCCGAAAAACGTGTATTTTATTGAAGGTGCAAAATAAATGTAACAAAACGCCTTGTTTTGCAATATAAATTCCGATTTTCTGAAATGGGGTGTCGTAAAAAATTAAATTTGATCTAAATTACGGTAATCGCAAATAATGTTTTAACATTTAACGTCTGGAACACAGCACTATCCGAGAGAACTCGAAGGCCACGGTAAGTCATTTCATTTAAAATAAAGAACGTTTCACATATTCCAAAAGTTTAAGATTTTGCAATCGGGTAATCGGAAAATCACCAGTAAGTCGGCAGTCAGTGCCTATATTATTATTATTACAAGCGAACTATATACTATAAATGTATAACGCACCAAAGGTGCAGCGCCGTCCTGGTGTCATGAATATGCCAGCTGACATTAGGGTGTTTGATGTCTGCCGCATTTGCGGTTCTATGCGAGAAAATGCGAGTACAATAAAACGAGAGAAATTTTGTTGCGAGTTAAAACGCTCATCACTGATTAATACTTAGAAATCCGAAATATAAAAATTGACGCACGGCGCAAACCGATTCCTTTTATCGGATCCTCCGCATTCGGTATTCTAATTTGCCCATCCCTAACTTAGATACTTCAAAAAAAAGTTTAAATAAAAATGAATCCGAATTTTGTGTGTAATTTTAATTCTTTGGCGGATCGTAGTTTACCCGTCCCTGGCTTAGAGCGGCGATTCACAACAGAAGGTCCATAAACTCTGACGGGTCAGCAGGAAAGTTTTGGAATTCCGTACAAAGCACTTTATAGGTGAACTTTGATCGTATACTGGTTTAATTTACAGGAGTACATAACTTTAAACAATCATGAGAAAGCCGTTTAAAAGTTGACCAGCAGTGGTCCAGAGGTAAGCGCACATATGGTCCCACTATTTGGGTGTAACAGTAAAATACCTCAGTTTGAAACCCAATGTCCGACACTACTCTTAGGATTTAGAAAATAGAAATCTCAACCAACCAGCAACTAAGAGAAGTGGAACTGTATCAGGATGTAATTCCATTTGTCGAGCGATATATGGTCCATCGAAATGTGCAAACCACCATCCTTTTTTACGCATGGTTTCATCTAAACCACGATCAGCAGGTCGAATGAACGGAATACGGAAATAACGCTGAGCTTTCATTTCAGCTTGTGGTATCTTTGGAAGGGGTCTCTGTTGAACCATATGAGCAGCTAAAACAAGAAAATACCATCGTTAGCATTTTTTAAAAACATAAATTTTGGTTGCATAGGGACGAAATCGCAAATGCTTATTTATGAGAAAGAATTTTCAAATTTATTTCAGAAAAGAAAAGTCGATAAAATAATAAACTACAACTTTTCTAATTAGCCTATATATTCACTCTATCAACTCGTTATGTATGGGAATGACAGATTAATATAGATAATAACATTACAGATAAATTAACAAGATTGAAAGTAGTATTAACCATCCCTAGGAGTGGCGCAATGGATTTTGGCCCAGATAATTCGAAAACACTTTCATCTATCGAAAATAATAATACTAATAAAATTATTCATATTTAAGCTTTGTTTTAAATTTTATCTAAAAAGTACGTCTAATTGAAAGCCTTTAGAATTTCAATATTGTGAATATCTACTCTATATTACCGTGTTGAGTAATTTCAGTGGGTGCTCGTTCCTCTTGCTTATCCTGATTTCCTTGATTTCTTGCTTTATTTGTATTTTTCCACTTATGATAGACTTTTAATCTTCGATGAAACTCAGCACGACATGCTTCCAACAGTGCAACGTCTAGAATAAAAATTAAAAAAAACATAATAACTAGGGATGCTAGAAAGAAACGATAAAACTAGAAAAGTGGTATGGATGTAATCTGCAAGCATAAATTAAGCTTTTTTTCTTCAATTTATCCTGAGAAAGAAAAGCCTATGAGTTTTATTTCAATGCCGAGCTGCAGTCTCTAGTCTCAGTTGAATAATCAATATGGATTAGAAATTGCATGGATGTAGGTTGAATAACAAGAGAGCGATGCTCAAATATATGGACACGGAGGCCAAAACAAAGTAGTAAGGGTATGCAATCTTACACAGTAAAGACCGGTATTGCAGACTTCACCTGAAAACCAGAACTAATGCAAACACGATACTGCCACAATGATGACGTCTTTGCACACAAATAACAAATCCCACAGAGCTCACAGAAATTTTTAAAACAAATAAAAGTAATAGCCTTCTGGCGAAATATACAATCTTCAACCGCTGAAAATTTCAAATCAATTGGTCCATTAGTATACAAGAAATGCGATTTTTTTACAACAAGAAGAGGAAAAGAAATACTAGCAACAAGATGATTAGTAACAATAATAACAAAACGTTCCATATGTTCCCTTCGTTCAAGAGCAGACGGAAGATTATTTGAACCTGCGTACTTCATACTGAGTAACCAGATGCAAAATGGAGGCATAATTCTAACGCTTCACGATCACAATTAACATTGCAAAAAAGTATTGAGACATGTACCTGTTGATGTATTAATGGTATCTCTAAGATCAGCATATTTCCATTTTGTCGAGTCAATTTTCTTTCCACTGGAGGATATGACCCTGGTCAAATATAAAAAAAACAATTATTCGACCATAATTGAAATCAACAAAACAGACAAATTTTTTGATCTAAAGAATGCATATTCTTCCATGATTAAATATCATGTAAGATCCCTTATGACGTGTTGGATAGAGTCCTCACATATGGTTTTGACGGTAAATTTAAATTGCGAATGAGACATAATCAAGTCCAAAGTAAGTTTTGTATAGCATTCAAATAAGCATTCAATAAGTAACCAAGTCCAGATGATAAAGATTTGGAAGGTTTCTAGTGCTTTTTGTTGGTTCCCAATTCTTTATTTTGGATATTTACATTCACGTATTTTCAACGTGTTTTTTCAATAAAACATACTTTCGCCTTACTACATCTTATTTGTAGCTTATTGTTTTTGAGGTGGGGCACGAGACTTGAAAAGTTTGAGAACATCTGAGCTAGATGATAGTTTTTCATCCTTGGTAATCAAATTAAGATCTGATGTTTTAACAATGGTCATTTGATGATGACGAGACGGTGCTCATCATGCAGGCATTTTGGCTCACAAGGTAAAAAAAGACAAAATGCTATTGATTATTATTGAAATAATCTATAAAATCATTTCATGCAGAGAATAATAAATATTTAATAACATAGATCAGCAGTTCCCAAACTGTGCGTCACAACATAGATATTTTCAATTGTGTTGGAAATATCAAACCAAGGGTGTGCAACATTTTTTTCCCAGTGGGCCTTATAACCAAGTAACCAACTTCAGACATCTTGTTGGGCCACAAAAAAAAATTAGTTTTTTCCATGTACATAACCAATTAAAAAATTCTCACAATGCAAAATTTTTCATTTATTCAACATTTTAGTAGCACACTTGAAATCTGAGTTCTTGCATTGTTTGTTAACAACAGCTTTTATTGAAGTTGTAGCAACCTAACTGACTAAATACATTAGCGACAACCAGAGCGTCTCAGAAAAAGGCAAAAGGAGAGAATGCGGCTTTTGCTTAAAAGTAATAAAGGCATCGGGCAAAACGGTGATAGATTTAACCCAGCGGCAAGATAAACATAAACTGTCAGATTAGGATTTTATGCTTGATGGGGCAAATCTAAACATTGACAAGGTCCACACTATATTTCTTGGGCTACCTGCTGCACACCCCTGTAATAAACCCTCAAACCAAGAGTGGAATACGACAGGACATATCTAACATTTAGTTCTAGTGTGATCGCTTATGTATAGAATTAATTAAATGTCTTTCCTGTCGTAATTTGATGTTAATTATAAAGCCAAGCTTTTCTTTTCAAAGCATCACAATTTGTATTACAGAAAGAATATGCATCCAAGTTTAAAAAGTGTAAAAACCTCCAAGAGTATAAACAGGAAAATCAAATAAAAAAGACATCTTTTTAAACTGAAAAAATCATTAAAACAATTAAAAAGAGGACATAACAAACGAGATCTGAAGTAGGTCAATCAAGTTCATGCCCATTTGTTAGCTAATACTACTGAAGGAAATCAATAATCATCGAGCCTGACAATTCTTGGATAGTATTAGCAGCTAGTAACATAGTCAGATTAAAACATTATACATTTAGTTAGTATTAGAAATATTTGAAAACCTGTACCTTTTCTATTTTGTATATTACCGTAAATTTAGATCATGGATTTTAGTTTTCAATTTAAATTGAAAGGAAGCAGATTTAGAAGTTGAAAAATTGTGTTTATATTTTATGCCCTGATGAAATTTCAAAATGCAGTTGAAAAAATGGGTATTATAGTTTTGAAGATGAAACGTCTTCGAGTGAAATCATTTTTCAATTCAGAAAGTTAAAAATTTGCCAGTTCCTTTAAAAATGAACATTTTGATTTTGGGACAAATATAACAATGTACAATAGGCTTATAATATGATTTTGATTCAAAATGTATGTCATTATTAGAATCAATTTGCAGGTAAAATGAATGAAAAGATTTTCAATATAAAAAAAAACGATTGCAAAGAGAATTAAAAATAGGTTAAAATAGAAAGTTTTACATCAAGTTAATCAAACAACAAACAAAATCATATCTTTATAGAAAATCAAGCGCATGCTTCATTTTAATATCATATGAAATCAAATGATATTTATTTCTGCATTACTATCATGCAACATAAACACAAATACAAAAAATTCATACTTTGCTCATGGTTCATTCCTGCAATTAAGAGTTATTTTAATAAAAACTCGATTAATAGAATACTAAAATATAATATCTTCATATTTATGAATATTCCTCATAGCATAGAATATAGTCCATGGCTATACGTGACGAAGCGCTACCATAATTGAGACCACCAAAATTTTTAACACTATAAAATTTCTGATTTAACATAGTCTGTTACATCAAGGTTGAGATGGAGGATATAGAGCAGGGGTAGGCAAGGTTTTGGGGGGTCAAAAATTATGCCCCTCTAGACTGGCGGGACATTATATACTGTTTATGCACCTGGCAGGAAAAAAGGGATGTCTAAGATGAATCGGATATTTAAACATGATCGAAATTTTGCAAAAGAAAAAAATAAATTCAGATTCAGATAAAAGTCTGAAAGCTGTAAATAACAAAGAAGCATGATATCTGATATCACTGGATACGACATTTAATAAGCAGGATTTTTTAATGCAATTTTGCGGCATTTACAGTGAGACATAAAGCTAGCCACGCACACTCACTCAGAAGTGAGGAAGACCATCTAGGAGGTGTTCGAAGCGTCAACTGAAATGCCAAAAGTGACTAAATGAATATTCCAAATGATATAGAGAAGCAATATGAAACATACGGTTTCTGGAATGGTTTGGGTGTTTCTTCAACAACTTGTTGGCCCTCATCTTGAGCAATACGCAATGCAAGTTCTCTGTCACGTTTTTCTTGCTCTCCGATGGCTTCTCTAAATGTTAAAAAAAGTAAATTGAAGTAATAAGTGAGCAGAATGCGAGTATCGGGTTACTGTCAAAGCTAGGGATGGGCAATGTAGAATAATTTACTATTTAAATCAAATCCAGAATACCGAATCCTATTTTTATTGTTATTCGAACTTATTCGAAATTATCCCAACTTTACAAGCAAAATTGTGAATGTACTACTACCCTTGTATTTAATTGAAATCACCCTGAGCGTTGGATTTTATTCGTTACCAAACAGGACAATGAAATATAAGAATTTGAAAGAATTACTTTTTGCTTTGAATTGTTCAAATTTTATGTGATCCCTAAATACTTACCGTATATGATAAAATAAATACCGCGTCATACACTTTAATACTAAATTGTGAAATACACAAAATAGATATGAAAAAACATTAAATTATTACTAATGTGGACGCGCCGAAAATACACAGTCTAAACCAAAGTGACTATATGTTATAGTCACTTTGGTCCAGACTGAGGCCATTGCAATTTATGCGGCCGCACTCAGTAGGGCGCATTAATCAATGGTGTAAAATAAATTTAACGACTTTTACGGTAATTATAATCAAGTACGTCAGGATGTTTATTTTCTGCGAGCAAAACTTGTAAAATAACATATATTGCCAAATTCATAATTATTATTGCAAAATCTAATTTTCAGTTATTAACGTTATATATACCACGTGTAGGAACTTTAATTTATCGTCAACTAAAATACTGCCGACACCCGGCCAAACGTGTGTCGAACTTGGACGATAGGAACGGATTCATCGGCGACTTGAATTCCGAAAAATATGTACCGCTTTCGCGGTTCTTTGCGAGAAAACACAAGTATAATCAAACGAGAGATATTTCGTCAACGCTCGTCACTGATTAATGAATCTGAAATACAAAAGTTAACCGCACGGCGCCGAAGAGATGGAAACCGAATCGTGTTATTGAATACTTTTGGATTCGAATACTCAGAGATTTGAATCCTCCGGATTCGGTATTCTATATTGCCATCCCTGGTCAAAGCTCAATAAAAAAAAACTCAATATTTTTATGGTTATTGTATTTTATAAAAATAACATAAAACGATGGTTTGTTCATGAAACAATAATACTGAAGCTACTTGATCCATACATTAGGTACACCAACTTATAAGGCGTACCGCGTACGGTCAAATTTCGAGAGAAATAAGGGCTTAAAGTTCGCCTTATGGTCATTAAAACACGGTAATTGATTGATTATTTTCATAAATCAATTTGACTTATATTACCTTTTATCTTCTTCGATTCTCACTCGTTCCATTTCCGTAGCAATTTGTGCCTGTTTTATATTTACAACGTAAACGCAGTGTTTTTTTTTTTTTTTTGTATGGACTACAAAGTAATACAAGGCGACTTAGGCCTTGTTGCAATGAACAAATTTTTATGAATGTAAATTTCGTTAATCAAACATTTCATTTCGGAATAAACAATGATGGTTGATTTTAAAAATTTGCTTTTAAAACTGATTTTTAGAATTCTTATACAAATGGCCTTTCTGATAAATGTCAGGTCAATGTGGTTCAGTATCAATTTGTTATGATTTTAAGGAGAAATGCGCTCAAGAGAAACATGGCATATTTATGTTTATTGATGAATAAATACTTTGCAATGGTATAATATTGCTGTTCTAAATAAATACTAATATTACAAGATATTTTAGAACGTAGTACACATTTTGATTAGTCGACCAAAATCGATCGAAACCATAAGTACAACCCCAAGATAGTTGTGGTTTGTCAAAATCTAAAAGTACAAGGGAAATATTCAACGAGGCGAGCTATTCCATATTGCAACCTTTTTTTTCAAATAGAACCAAGACGTATTTCCTGAAATGCTTCAAACCGATTCTACAACTTACATTCATAATTATGAAGGTCATGCTGTTGATTGACCCTATTCCTTACTACCTAAATATTACTAACCTAGTCCAGTTTTGACATAAGCTAGTGTGTATTTATTCAATACAACAGAACAAACATTTATTGTTTAAATTGGACCAATTCTGAAAAGTCGTCAAACAAAAGACGTAACATTAAAACTGTTGGTTTCAAATCATGTGTCTTCGAAAAACATGGGGGATTGATCCAAACATTAACTTGTTAAATCAGATAGATTTATTGTCACTATCTTTGGAAATTTTTAAGCATTTCTGGGTACTGAAAAAATTTGATTGTCAATCAAAAGAGTGAATACAAACAATCTACCAACTAACTCTAGGTAGTATCTCATTTTTATATGGTAAACTTATACTATATTTAGTTTGTTCATTATTAAAATTTAGCAGAAAGAAAAACTTCTCTTCGTATATGTAAAGTTTCTAGGTGCTCATAAAATTTCCTGTACCATGGGTAGTTCAAATTCCAATCAAAATATTGCTTCAATAATACGAAATGATAGAAAACGGCGCTCCCGTAGTATGTGCACCAAGATGGCGCACAACCTGATAACCCATCTGGTACACATACTAGGAGAGCACCTGGAACACATTCTCAAATTTTGAAGGCTGAAAATGAGCACTTTATAACGCCTGTCAACCCTGTCTAGATTCTGCTCTAATTAAATATCCAACTTTCTCCAAGCTAGATCCTTGTTTTATCTAATTTTGCTTATATATAAGTATGATTGCAGTCTCATTATCAATTGTCTGCATAACAGTTAATTAATTAGTCAATCAAGGCCACAACAATTATTTTTGCACTCGTTCATTGAGATTATTTGTACCTAAACTTGAGTGTAAATGGGCACGTCCATATCGACAGTAAATATATGGGGTGAAAAGGCCTATGTCCATCATATTGGAAAATAGGCCTGTTCTTAACTTCTGAAAATTATTATATTCCAAAGTCCAGCTAAAATTTTTTATATTGAGAAATTTAGGATTTCAAGACCACCATATTGTAGAATGTAGAGCATGGCTCAAGACCCCAAAGAAAAAAGTGAGTTTCCCGAAATGTGACTTAGGCCCCTTCTGTTCTTATCCGACGATATGTAAACGAAAATGCATTGAATCAATTTTGCGCCCAGTATTGTTGTCCCCTCCAACTTATTAGAAGTGTCTTTTTTTGAGGAATTCGATGGTGAAGTTTCAGATTGCGCTTCCTTTTGGTTTATTGCGCAGTGCCAAATTGCCGATATGGAGGCCGAGACTGTGACGTTATATGGTATTCTCCGTTACTATGGTTGATTCCTCGATGCTTGATCCCAGTAAAACTCTCCCCTTAAAAATAAATATTGTTTTTTAAATTAAAACATTCAACCACATGCCGCCTCGTGCCTGATATGTACAAAAGGATTGCTAGAATCCTAGGCTCCGAAGGATGGGGCTTTCTTCCCCATCAAGTCCATGCATCTGAAAAATTACTGGCAAACTAACGTGTAACCGGACGAAAGGTCCCAATTCGTCACGTGATTGAGCATATTTCTCTCCCCCAGGATAAATATGTAAACCCTATAGATTATAGATGGCGATAAAACGCCATTGCCACATAACATCGTCTGCTGAGAGCATGTTTTGTATAATTTCTAAACACACGAGGATAACAAATCATGCTCAATTCATAGCGAGCATTTTCAATATGGCATTTTTTAAATAACTCTTCATTCTTCCGTATTGCTAAAACTTATAAGTAATGAGATGTCATTAATTTGCACAATTTGAGACCACTGGGTGCTTCTACAATGAATGAAAGACATTTCGAAAAGGTCCAAACTGAGTTTCCACACGCAACCAGTATTGGTTTCCGCTTCTCACTTTACCCTGGAATGCAATTTCTTTTTTTTAGCATGGTGAAAGGATAAACTACTGATTACAGTAGCAAGACTGGAAATATATAACTTAAAAATGATATCATATTTCCAACACACCTATATAGGAAAATTTAGGGCTTAAAGACCAGGATTCCTAAAACGCCATTTGAACAAATAGGTGTAAAATGAGGCTAGGTAGAGTGTGGCGCAGATGTACATGTTCAATCTGCTTCTGATAAGATCTTGATTCTATTTTCGAAGGAGAAAACCTGTTTTAGATTCTTCTTCTTTTCGAAGTCATTAAAAACGTTTCATTCTGATGAACAGTGCCAATCTTCATATCAATAACAACACTCAGATATTTAATCATACATTCATTTTTATTATTCACTAACATTTGAAGAAATTTCACCACAAAATCAAAGATAAACAGAAATCAGACGATTTTAAATTGTACTAAAAGCCTACGACAGAGGTTCAAATGCTGGCGGAAAAAAAAAACTACAAATTACAGAAAATTCAAAATCAATCGAGAAAATATGCAAGTAATACGACTATATTTTTCTAATATTTTCAATTTATGAATAATATAAAATAAATTGTTACGTCTCATAGATAATATATTTCATAAATGATATATTGGATACCATAAACGAGCATAAAGTATTTGAAAAGGAATTCAACCAAGGCAACAGCATAGGTATAAGCAATTTGTTATTATCAGTACCGTACAAAATTTTGACAATACTGGTACACCTCTGCGTCTACAATTTATAATTTTCCTTTACAAAAACAAATCATTTTTTCAATCCAATCATTTGATGTGAATTAAATGCTAAATACAATATACCTAGGATTTTAAATACTACAGTTTTGAAAATATACCTACAGGAAATTGGCAATTTGAAAAATCATACATACACAATTAATAATAGGCAATAAGATTGAAAAGTGCTAAAATCATTGAGTAATCAATATATATAATTGATAGTGCTAATTTAACTAACTAATCACATTAAACATTCAAGACTAATTGAAGACATACAAAACAAAAAGGCGATTAATTTGACGTATCGCAAGACAGAAAAAAACATGAAAGAATCATTTCATCGCCGACCGAAAACCGATTATGTATTTCATGATACGCAGATAAATATTATGTTACTGATATAATACAGTGATCACAATTTTAAAAACATTTTGCATAAAATATGTCACAATGAACAATTTTGCCCAAAATTATACTAATGTTGGCAATAGAATATCTATTGAAGGAAAAGTACGTAGATAATCACGAATGTAAAATATCTGTTAGATGACTATAATAAAGTCACATATGATAAAGTTGCACTTGGAATTATACTAAAATCATTGCACTATGCTAATTACAGGTTGATTATAGAAGCAGCATGACGATATAAACTTGGCAATGAAAATATGAAGTGTTTTATTCTTTCACCACCAATGAATAAGACAATATTTAGTGCCAAAATAGCGCAAGATGTACCACACTATAGGGTAAATCTACCTCAAGCTTGTGACAGCGAGGGAGACCATTTTCCGTAACTTAAATAGATAAGACTTGGTAGATCTTAGACTGGGTAGACGACAAATTAAAGATGACCTTCTGCTGTAATGGCATCCAATTTTTTACATCAGAAACAGACAAGAAAAGTACCTACTCACAGAGAGTGTGTACGTTTTAGGCAATAACGTACCGGTATCATACGATTGTAAATATATATACGATTGGAAACAATAAAAAATTTAGTTTATCAAGAAAATTTAATTTATTCATGAATAATGACATTCCAAATATTTATTCAAGATTGCCATTGTCAGTATTCAAAATTTATAATTTAGGACTAAAATGTGTCTATATTGTAATTAAATCATGATCATGGCATTTTAGCAAGAAAAGATTCAATTTAGAACATTTCTCCCAGAAATGAATCGCAAAACCAAACGAAAATAGTGTCAAACACAAGGTGCCTAGTTCAGTAAAACAACGAAGATACAGTGCACAAAAACTGTAAATTGCCCGATATTTTAATACCGCGTATGACATGGTCAATTTGTCTTTGGTTTCTTATCTAGCAGTAGCCTGTTGCATCATAGCAGTGGCATATGTGGGCCTGGCTTGTTTATTTGCTATAGCACGAAGTAAATACTCTCTTCCTCCACTTGAAACCCATACCTGAATACAACATACAGCATTTAGAAACTGTTCGAGTATGAGAACTTGCAATAATAAATAACAAAATTCGAAAGAGCGGCAGGCGAAAAGAAAATAGCATTTTCTCGGGTTACGAGTTGAACCAGAGTTAACCCGAGGGTGACCGTACATTTGAACCCACGTACATTTGAACCCATGTGTATATCCGCGGGTTCGATCTATATGCGAGTGCTAAAACCCACGGGTTAGGGTTAGTATGGGTTCAAATATCCGCAAAACAAAAAAAATGCAATAGTATGCAGGTGCAGTTGTCGTGGGTTCAAATGTACGGGAACCTAACCCGAGACATATCGTATACCCTTGCACATAAGCATATCTCACATATAAACCGACCCCCTAAAAACGGCCCTAAAACGATGAATTTATGAAATTCTCATATAGGCAGACCCTTTAAATGGTAACGTGCCGTACAAATTATAGCTGTTGCAATTAAGTTAGCTAGTTTCCAAATTTTTTACTTACTTGTTCAAACTCGTGCTGTAGTATTTCAGCCCCTTTCTTTCTTGCTAATCCAGTTTCTTCAAGAGTTAATTCACATATCTGAATGTCATCCTTGCCTAAAAATAACAATTAAATATAGAAAATCTGTGACTAAAATATCGTTTCTACCAGAGGAATCAATAGAATAACACAACTGAATGTATATGTGAGCAGGACAGACTCTATGTAATAAAAACAAAAACACATATCAGGTATGAATCAATGATGAAAATACACTTTAAATGTCTGTTGGCAGTGAGGTATGTGTACATATGGCCTCACTATTTGGGGGTGACATTAAAAAACCTCAGTTTTAAACCCAATTTCCGACACCTCTTTAGGGTTTTAGAACATGATAATCTCAACCCACCAGCAACTAGAAGAAGTGGAACTTTATCAGGATGTAATTCCATTTGTCGAGCGATATATGGTCCATCGAAATGTGCGAACCACCATCCTTTTTTACGCATGGTTGCATCTACACCACGATCAGCAGGTCGAATGAACGGAATACGGAAATAACGCTGAGCTTTCATTTCAGCTTGTGGTATCTTTGGAAGAGCTCTCTGCTGGACCCCATGAGCAGCTAGAACAAGACAACACCATTGTTAGACTTACAACCTTCTAATTATCTTACTTATACACTCTATCAACTTGTTTGATTTGGGAATAACAGATCAATATAGATAATAAAATTACTAGTAAATTAACATGATTGAAAGTAGTATTAACCATCCAAAACCGTAGTACTACCATCCCTAGAAGTGGCGCAATGGATTTTAGCCCAGATATATATCGAAAACACTTACATCTGTTGAAACTACTAATAAAATTACTCAAATTTCATTTTATCTGAAGAGTACAAATGAAAATCATGCAAATTTCAATATAGAGATCAATAACAATACTGATATCAGACGATGTCTTTATTACCATGTTGAGTAATTTCAGTCGGTGCTCGTTCCTCTTGTTTATCCTGATTTCCTTGATTTCTTGCTTTATTTGTATTTTTCCACTTATGATAGACTTTTAATCTTCGATGAAACTCAGCACGACATGCTTCCAACAGTGCAACGTCTAGAATAAAAAATAAAAAAAACATAAAAACTAGGTTAACAACAATAATAACAAAATGTTCCATATGTACACTTCGTTCAAGAGCACACAAAAGTTTATTTGAACCTGCGTACTTCAGACTGAGTAACCAGATGCAAAATGGAGGCATAATTCTAACGCTTCACGATCACAATTAACATTGCAAAAAAGTATTGCGACATGTACCTGTTGATGTATTAATGGTATCTCTGAGATCAGCATATTTCCATTTTGTCAAGTCAATGTTCTTTCCACTGGAGGATATGACCCTGGTCAAATATAAAAAAAAATTATTCGACCATAATTGAAATAAACAAAACATAGACAAATTTTTTGATCTAAAGGATGCATATTCTTCCATGATTAAACATCATGTAAGATCTCTTCTGACGTGTTGGATAGAGTCCTCACATATGGTTTTGACGGTATATTCAAATTGCGAATGAGACATTATCAAGTCCAAAGTAAGTTTTGTATAGCATTCAATAAGTAACCAAGTCCAGATGATAAAAATTTGGCAAGGTTTCCAGTGCTTTTTGACGGTTTTTCACAGTTTTTGCACATTTAGGCAGGGTTTCTAGTGCTTTTTGTCGGTTCCCATTTCTTTATTTTGGATAATTACATTCTATACACGTATTTTCAACGTGTTTTTTCAATAAAACATACTTTCGCCTTACTACGTCTTATTTGTAGCTTATTGTTTTTGAGGTGGGGCACGAGACTTGAAAAGTTTGAGAACATCTGAGCTAGATGGTGGTTTTTCATACTTCGTAATCAAATTAAGATCTGACGTTACAACAATGGTCATTTAACATTATGAGACGATGCTCATCATGCAGGCATTTTGGCTCACAAGATGAAAAAGGACAAAATGCTATTGATTATTATTAAAATAATCTATAAAATCATTTCATGCAGAGATTAGTAAATATTTAATAACATAGATCAGCAGTTCCCAAACTGTGCGTCACAGCATAGATATTTTCAATTGTGTTGGAAATATCAAACCAAGGGTGTGCAACATTTTTTTCCCAGTGGGCCATATAACCAACTTCAGACATCTTGTTGGGCCACGAAAAAAAATTACCCGGAAGTTTTTTCCATGTACATAACCAATTAAAAAATTCTCACAATGCAAAAAATTTAATTTATTTAAGATTAGTTGGACAAATTTTGACATCTTGCATAGTTTGTTAACATCAGCTTTAACAGAAGTTGTAGCAACCTTCATCTAACGAAGTACATTAGCAACAACCAGAGCACTGCGAGAAAGGCAAAATGAGAGAATGCCACTTTCACTTTAACTTACAGTAATGAAGGCACCAGGCAAAACAGTGATAAAGTTAACGCAGCTATAAGAGAAAAAAACATTGTGTAAAATTACCCATGTGAGCGCTTTTTCAAACATAAACTGTCAAATTAGGATTTTATGCTTCAAGAGGAAAATCCGAGTGTTGACAAGGGCCACACTATATTTTTTGGGCTTCCTGTTGCCCACCCTTGTATCAAACCATTGAACTAAAGTGGGGAATGGCAGGCCATATCTAACATTAAGTTGTAGTATGATCACAAAATAACAATGTAAAATAGGGCTTATAATATGATTTTGATTCAAAATGTATGTCATTATTAGAATCAATTCGCAGGTAAAATGAATGAAAAGATTTTCAATATATAAACCGATTGCACAGAGAATTCAAAATAGGTTAAAATAGAAAGTTTTACATCAAGTTAATCAAACAACAAACAAAATCATATCTTTATAGAAAATCAAGCGCATGCTTCATTTTGATATCATATGAAATCAAATGATATTTATTTCTGCATTACTATCATGCAACATAAATACAATAAATTCATACTTTGCTCCTGGCTCGTCCCTGAAATGAACAGATTTTTTAATAAAAACTCGATAAATGGAATACTAAAATAGGATATCTCTAATGGTATAAATAATTTTCACCCATAACGAGTGGATAAGATAGAATTTACATATTTATCCTGGGGGAGATGGAAGCCGATGAGGCGGCTTAATCATATGACGAACCACGGCCACTCGCCCGGTTACCAGTCCATGTCAAGTATGGGATTAGTAAGTCAGATATTTGTTTCAAATGCATGGACTTGATGGTGGAGAGAGCCGCAACCGACCAGCGGTTACGTGAACCATCCTATGGCGGCGAGGAGTCCTGCAATCCTCTCGCACATAGTTATCCCCCACGGAATTCGTACTTGTGAACCCATGCAGGGTAATCGGGTAATCAGAGATGCGGTGGCAAGCGTATTCCTAACACTTAGCACTATGCGCCACACTACCGAGCCATCATATCAATGTGTGTTATCTTGCTTTAAAAAACTGGACAGGATCCAATAAACAGTTTTTTTAAACACACTCAGAAGTGAAGAAGACTCTCTAAGTGGTGTTGAAAGCGTCAACCGAAGTGCCAACAATTACTATGTAAATGTTCCAAAAAAGTAAAAAGAAGCAATATAAAACATACGGTTTCTGGAATGGTTTGGGTGTTTCTTCAATAACTTGTTGGCCCTCATCTTGAGCAATACGCAATGCAAGTTCTCTGTCACGTTTTTCCTGCTCTATGATGGCTTGTCTAAATGTTAAAAAAAGTAAAGTTGAAGTAAGAAGTGACTAGTGTACAAAGTTAAAGAACTTGAAAAAACTCAACATTTATATTATTCTAAAAAGTGTATTGGGGAAAATCTGATGGTTTAAATGAAACGTTCCTTCTAATTATGCCATGAAATTTGGCAAATATAAAGAATTATGGACAAATACGCCTATATAGAATATTACAAATATAAATTGGTTTTAAAGCAAAACTCCAGAACCCCAACTATTCAGTCATGCACATGTACAACACTATGCCCATAACTAATATTGTACCGCCTTTTACGGACCATAAGGCGCACTGCACTGTCAATGAATTGATGAGATTGGGGTCTCGTCTATAAATGAGGCGTACCGGTCTATAAGATGCAATGGTTTATAAGAAGTATCAGGTTACAGTACCAAGCTCATTAAACAAACAAAAAACTCAATATTTATTCTATTTATGGCAATTGTATTTTATTCGAAAAAATGTAAAACAGTGGTTTGTTTATAAAACAATAGTACTGGTACTGATTTTAAGTGTAGGCAATGAAGCATGAAGCACTATCTGATTCATACATTAGGTGCACTAGCTTATAAGACGTACCAACGATTTTTGATAAAAAAAAGTGGACGTCCGTATCGGGGGAGATGGGGGAGGGGATATTTTAACCAGTACAATCTCATTGATCCTGATGGGTGTATAGATATGGAAGGAGGAACATCAATGGGCAAAGCCAGGCCATAGCAACGATTAATTAACAGGAATTATCTAAGATCTGTCCGTAAAATACGGTTATTAATTGTCCTTGTCTATTTCCACAAATCCATTTTTGCAATCACCCAAATATGTTTAATAAACAAATGAAAGGAAGCTATTACAGTTTTTCATGTAAAATTTGGCATTTTTTACACTGTATGGTGATTTGTAACAAATTTTTAGGATCAAAATCAATTTGACTCGATAATACTACCCAAATATTACCTTTTTTCTTCTTCGATTCTCTCTCGTTCCATTTCCGCAGCCATTTGTGCCTGTTTTATATGTATAGAAATATTAGAGCAAAATTGCGGGCGATCCCTGTAATACCTAGAAGCTACAGGAAACTAAACAGAATTATGACGGTGCAGTACGTGTATTCACTGCATGAAAAAATGTAATTCAATCCCAAAACACAATTGTTGCAGTCTTAACAGAAAATTTCAAAAAATACAGAGCAATGTTTTTTAAAGCAAAGATACAGAGTAAGATATTTAGTATATTTAAATATCATTTTAATATTTAGTAATATAAAAACAATTTTACACCAACAAAAATGCATTTTATTTCCCTTACCTCGATTCTTCTTGCTTCCTCCTCCTTTTTCTTGCGTTCCTCTTCTTCTTTCCTTCTTTTGGCTTCCATTTCCAGTTTTCTAAAATAAATAAGTAACAAAAATTCTTCAATCATAAATATGAAAGAATTTTAATTGGGAAAAAAATCATTCAACCGTACAATCGTTTATTTTGTTCTTCTTCTCTCTTCTTTCTGGCTCTCTCTTCTTCTTCCTTTTTCTTTCTTGCTTCCTCCTCCTCTCTCCTTTTTCTTTCACGTTCCATTTCCTCCTGGAAGCCAATTTGAAAAAAATCAAAATTTCATTAGCTTCTTCTAAATTTATAAACCATTTGTCATGTGTGTATGTGTGATTATGTGCATGTATGTATGTGTGTGTGTGCGCGTGATTCATCAAAATAAAGTAGAATGTCAAGAGATAGAATAGTATATACTATATTCAGAAAGGTCCATTTGAATTTGATAGATTTCATTAGCTTCGTCCTGCATTCATTACAAACCATTAGTTGTGTGTGCGTGTCCATGTGTGATGTAACGAATTGAAGTATATGTCTCGAAACAGAATAGAATGTCTAATTGTCTAGAACAGGCTGGTCCAAACCCAGGCCCGCAAGCCACATGTGGCCCGCAACTTCATTATCTGTGGCCCGCGTTGCATTCGGAGAAGAATCAAAAAATCGCATTTTTTGTTGTTTCGTCATAAAATTAACCAAAAAATCTTTTGACATATTGTTGCATCACTAATGTCACTGAATTGACTAGTGTTATGGCTTACTGAGGCAACTAGCGAAGTTAAATAAGCGAAGTTCGCCTGCTAACAATGCAAAAGTAATTTTGTGGCTCGCGGAGCTGCCAATCCTGAACCACCCTGGTCTAGAAAGTCCTATACAAGTGTCATGAATTTTATTAGCTTCTTCTCAATTTATAAACCATTTGTCACGGGTGTTTGATGTATGTGTATGTGTGTGATTTATCAAAATCGAATAAAATGTCCAAAGTATATTCATTTTAATGAGGTTTCATCAGTTTTTTTTCTGATTTATAAACCAATTTCATGATTGTATGAGTTAGTGTGTGTGGGTGTCATGTGCTCATTTTGTGTGACTCATCCCAAATAACAAATACAAACCTTAATCTTCCTTGCCCTTTCAGCCTCAGCTTCAGCAAGTAATTTCTTGTGAATTTCATTGATGATGCCTTCTTCTTGTTTTCTCAACTTATTATAACTATCCTCCATGACAGTTGGTTGCAGAACAGACGACTAAGGAATGTAAGAAAGAGCGTAATTACAAAAAAAAAAAAAGAAGATACAAAATTTATTACAGTATAAGTTTATTTCGACACCATAATCAGTATAACAGATGATAAAATAGTTGAGTCAGGTGTCATCAGAGTCGAGTCTGAGTCAATCACTCAATTGAGCATCCCCGAGGTTTGTTGCGTCCGAGTCATCTAATTGACTCGAGTTACTTTGATATTTGATAAATATGATTCGAGTATCCCGAGCTTCCTCAACACTCAGACATACTAATATATTTTTAAAATAACATATAGTCACCTTAATTTTGTTCATGTGAGCACGAACATTTTTCTCATGTAGGTCGACTTTAGCAACCATATCTGCTTTTGTTTTGAGTCCTTCAGCCAGCTGACGCATTTTTGTAATTTGTATGACAAGTGGCATGGACATCTTCAAAGCTTGGATACTGAGTATATGAATAATAACATTGATAGTAAAAAAAGCGTTTGTGGCCCAGGCATTAAAGCGCTAGAGTCAACTGTGTTGGCTCGCAAAAGGCGTGAATAAGTGCCGTATAAAAAAGTTCAAAAAACAAAACCCCACATATATAGATAGAAGCACTTTAGAACCAAAAGTACGAGATAACCAGAATCATTAGAGTTAAATAACTAACTTGGCAAGTAACCTGAATGAAGTGGTGTACCAGAGCTTGATGTGGGGATGCCAACAAACCGTATTTTACAGACCATAAGGTGGACTTTAAATCCTGCGGCTTATGAGACGATGAGCATAACGTATGGACCAGGTAGCGCTTTAAGCTTTATTGCTGATACTCGAGACCAATACCGATCGTAATGCATCATAAACAAACAATCATTTTATGTTTTCTTTGAATAAAGTACTATAATCATAAAAAAGTTTTTTTTGTTTAATGAGCTTTGAACGGTAACAAGATACTCCTTAATAAGCATTGCGTCTTATAACCCAGTGCGCCCTATATATGGACAAAACCACAATATAAGCAGTTTATTGATGGTGTGCCTTACGGTCTGTAAAATACGGTTATTCAATTTCGTTAAAAACACCTTAAAAACGGGTGATGGGAAAATAAAAAAATTCTATTTCCAAGATTTCAAATTCAAATAACTACCGAGGTCTGTGTTTTTTTCTTGCAATCATTCCTCTCACACGTTTCTGAATGAGAACATATTGTGCTCGTCTCCATGCCATTTTGTTTTTGACTGTTAAAAAAATATATATTGTATTTTCAAATAACTCAAAAAAATGATTTTTCATTAAGCAAATGAAAAAATCATGAAACAATAGAACAGAATACCCATAATAAGCAAATCTAATACCTATAGATGTGTGAGGAAAATTATCCAGGTTGTTACCGGTATGTATGGGCCAAGGTAGTGACAGTGATTATTTTTCATACCATTGGGTGATTTTACAGAATTTTCGGCGCTCTAGAAGTATGTGTACCAATATAGAAGTAACTAATTTTGTTCGCCTACTTTACGCCAAGTTGTGTAAACGGACTGAAGCCTATGGGCAGGGGGTATTCACTTGGCTAACGAAAACCGTCCCCCAAATCGTAATAGAATGTGCAAAGCCTAACAAATTTGGTATTGTAGAATTTTTTCTACAAAAAACGGTATTATATTTTTCTGAATTTCCAAATCATAAATTTTTGAAATTTCAAATTTATTTTGTTTGGACATCTGCAATTGCCGAATCTATAAATGTGCCACCTAAAACCTAATCACATGATAAAATTGTTCTTTTAATTTGATTTTGTCATTTCCAATAATATATGATTCGAAACAATGCATCAAAGATGTGAGTTTATCATGTGAATTTAGTAATAAAATATAATCCAGAAACCACTATACTCACGTTTTATGACTGTCAAAGAACACCATTGTACTTTCCTCCATCTTGCTCTGAGCAACCATTTCTGGACCTTCTTGATCAAAGCTTTCAAGTGTTGTGGGTCAGAATGCAAAAGTTCATCAAATTCAGCAAACTAAATAATGAATTTCCATATGAAATAAATACATAGAATTCGAAGAAATATTGGGTACTCCTGTAGTGTGTATACCAGGTTAGGGTTAGGCCATAATTTTATTCCGATTTTCCTTATTTTGGTTCTATTACGAATTCGGGGACTGTCTGTGTTAGCTAAATGAATAAACACCTTTGCTCATAGGTTTCAGTCACTTTACACAACTTGATGTAAAGTAGGCGAACAAAATTTGTTTCCTCCATATTGGTACACACACTTCTGGAGCGCCCTATAAATTATCCTATTTTTGTCAATGCATTTTTGAAACAGAAGCGTTTTGTTTAATTAATGTTGTGGTTTACGGAAAAAGTCTGTGTCTAACTACTAGAACATTAGCTTTCAAATATGTTGTCATCTTCAGATGAAAGTGTTTACTTTAAATTTGATCATTTGGATCCCCTTGGGCCATTCATTGTTCTACCCGTATCTTTGCTGATTTTGTGAATTCTGGTTATCACACCGATTTTCAATCTACCAAATTTGGCTCATTCGCAACAAAGAGAATATGACAATACGCGATACTTCAGATCCATAATAATAGAGCTTTGTGCTCACATGTTAGGATTTAATAAACAAGGCTGAAAATGAATAGAGGAGCAATTGGAAGCAATATTTCACACTAGAACATCTATACTAACCTTTCCTGGTCTGAAAAAAATCTTTGTCATCCCAAACTTGAAATCCTTCTCATTGAGTCCAAGAGCTTTGAAAAGTGCCTGAAAAAAATTTGGAAAATTGATTTTATACAATTCCAGTCAGTAACCCAAACAAATTGAAACTTATGAAATGCAAGAGAAATTTCTATTTGTAAAATAGACTTCGAGTTCATGTGTTGGCCAGGCAGAAAATCCTCAAACTATACCACCGGTCTTCAACCAGTGGGCCATGGCCCACTTCTGGGCCACAGAAATATTTCCAGGTGGGCCTCAAACCTATTGAAAATTGACGAGATAAATATGTTAAACTTTGATTGAAATGAATGATGTTGATCCTTTTTGGCTCTGGGTGGTAATTCTCATTTTAATCATTTAGAGCAGGGGTGGGCAACTTCTCTAGTCGGCGGGCCAGATGTGGGAAAATGAAGTCCACGCGGGCCGTATGTTGCCCACCCCTGATTTAGAATGTCCATCTTTGCATAAAGACTTCTTGTCGTTTTTTCTTGCATCAGAAAGTTAATGGGCCACATAATTTTTTGTGCAACAAATTGGGGCCAAAAAAATGAGGTTGAGAACAACCGATCTAGGCACAACAAACGTGCAAGGGTGTTAACAATCTACTAAAATGCATATGTCAAAATTAGGAACATTTTTAGGCCTAATGGATGCTATGTCTACACTTCGATGGTCAAGATTAGTCTTTAGTGATTCTGATAATGTGTGTGACCTTGATTCAAATAAGTTTTCATATAAAAAAAGCTGTGAAGTTCAGAAGACAACCCATTAAAGTGGCTGAAATAGAAATATGATGTCAATTGGTAAGACAAAAATAAGCAAAGTAATCAAGAACACAGAATATTGTCCTTACCTTACAGAACAATCTTGGATCCAATCTTTTCATATGCTCAGGCATCAACTTCTTGTACATGTCGTAAAGATCTGAGAATTGTGCTCTCGATGGAAAACCACCTTGCATGAGATCAAGCACAGATACCATTCCTGTAAAGAAAAATTTTTCACGGTTCGATCAACCTTAATTAGGAAAAAAAATAAAAATAGCTGAGAACAATATTTCTGTAAAGATTACAACTGAATACCATATATCCTCACACATAAGCCACCCCTAAAATGGCGAATTTATTAAAATCCACATATAAGCCGACTCTTAACACGCTGTACGTAAGTATGACAGCCAGGGATGGCCAATTCGAATAAAGTATTCGAATATCTCGTCATTCGAATATCGGAATTAGCGTTCATAAGAATATCGAATATTTGTGTGACGTCACACATTTTCGACGCCGCTTCCAAGACGTTTCCGTTGAATGAAAACACTCTCAATAGAAACTTGCGCGTGATTGTTTTCATCACTCTTCAGCGTAACGTGTTATTTAGGCCGTAAACGCCTTTACGTTTGTGTTATTTTCTCTAAAACGAAAATTTTCCACAAATTTGTTCCAGATAACGACGACAATTATTTTATTTTTGTACCCGCACGGAATTGTGAATCTGGTAAATACGTTCATCGGCGGCGAGTTTCTAAAGACAACGCAACTTTTTGATTGAAAAGCGGCAATTTAAAATACTGAAAATAAAACCGCAAACAATATAAGTTTTATTGAGGCCCGCTAAAATTTATCAAAACGCTTTTCTAGGCAGTGAAAATTGCAAAATTTCGTGGGCCTACCGTACACATTATGTTTGGTCGGGCGTTTAGAAACATATCGTCACGAATTGAGGGCGGGATTTGCCTGATTATTCATTACTTTAAATTGCCGTCGAATATTTTCGTGTTAACATTACACAAGGTTTGAAACGCGACTTTTTCTCGGGTTGTGAGGATGTATATAATATAATTAATCTAAAGTATATTCAATCAATTTTATTGTGATGAAATAAATTTTACTCTAAGATGTTACAGCAGATTTATGGATTTTTCGAACGGTTTTATCTGGAAATAATCAGAGTGTCAGCATTTCGATTGAGCGGAGTCACTGTTAACAAGTAGGCCTACATCTAAATATTTGCCGAATTCGCAAAATACGGATCTGAACATTATTTAATCGGCAGTTTACCACACGTTTTTATTCTTATGATCGCGGATTGCAAGGGTATATAAGAGTGGTGAGGATTTTATTTTGTCGACGCAACCGCAGGTTAAATTGAGGACAATTAAATTAATAAAGCAAGACATTTTAAATATGCCCGTATCGGTCATGAATTCATCACTTTGCACAACAGAAAAATATATATTTGTTGTTATATCATTTGTTGTAAAAGTCGACTTTTTTTAACAGGTGGCATACTCGCGGCGATGAATATGTATTTTTAATTTACTGCTAAACTTTATATGTATATTCATTGTATGAAATGAATTATACACTAGACCAGTGGTTCTTAAACTGGGGGGCGCGCCCCCCTAGGGGGGCGCGAGATGCTCACAGGGGGGGCGCAAGAGGTCACAAGATGGAATCGGAAATTTACATGTAACGGCTCCTGAAACGGTCTCCGCGTTCATTAAAAATACCGGCTTTTTCGTGGTATAATAATTTTTTCCGTCTCGTAATAACTAAAAAAATTCAAAATGTCTCTCTATTTTAATTCATTTGTGTTCAAGGTAACTTGCGGTTGCGGCGACTCATGTCAAAATAAACTCATTACCGATCTAAAATACCACGCCAATCCGCGGACATATCAAAGTGTGATCAACTGCCCGATTATATTTCGTTTTGATATATATTGCACTGATGCGAATTCGTTGACTTCATTAGAAAAATCTGGTATAATATTCCAGAAAGTATACTTAATTTAGTACAATTAAAATACATATTCATCGACTCGAAATCCCCGCGGTACGAATCCTGAGTCTGTCCTCGACATTACGCCAGTCCTTATAAGAGCCAACCCAACTTTGTCAACGGATATGTAATGGTTTTCGTGTTGAATAAAATATTCATTTAAAATGGTTGCTTTATTCATTTGATTGTGATAAATTAAATCTTGCGATTGCGTCGATAAAATAAAAGCACCAATACTCCAAAATACCACGGTAATCCGCAACCATAAAAATGTGTGGCAAAGTGCCCGATTACATTTTGTTTTGATTTGTATTCTTGCCAATGTCACCATTATGAGGTGTCCCTGCAACTCTTACTCCGCTTTATCGCAATGCTCGATTAATTCCTTAGTCTACGATAAAATCCCACGGAGTAAAATTTATTTCAAGTCGGTAGTTTTAGAACACTACTGGTGTGCCGCAGGCACAAGGAATTCATGAGATTTGCAATGTCTAAGAAAGTGTTTTTAATCTGTCGCGGTCCACCCCAAAACAAAACTCATGGTGTTTTCAGTTTTATTTTTAGTATTTTATAATCTCGCTTTTACAATAAAGAAATATTTGGTTGCAGATTCACTACTTTATTCTATCTTTAGCATCTCGTCGCTGATGATTATATAATAAAAACTAACTCGTTTTCCTCAGAGATGTCATGGTTCTATTCGAAAATAAAAAAAGTAATTTTAATCGTCTTCGCGACACAAGAATATGTCGAGGGAAATTTCTGATTTAGGGAGAAAAATCACCAAAATCAAGATTTTTACGGCATAGCGGGCCACGCTTACGAAAACAATCGAGATTTAAACAAAATGCAATCGCAAACCCCTTAGCGACTTTATTTTTCAGTGGTCAAGGGCTGAGGAAACGTCCACATTCATAATAACTATTAAAAAATGAACTGCTTTTAAATTTACATAAATTCATTTGTACTTCTCCATTTTGTTTGAAACGTTAGGCAAGCCAAGAAGTCTGTAATTGTTGCTTATTTTTAACACACAGTAAATGTGTCTAAACAATATGCCTAAACAATCTGAGCAATGACGATATGAGACCAACACTCTTATAGTGCCATCTTATTAAATAGCAACCTGCCCATCACAAAAGCATTTTTTCAAAGCAAATATAGGGGGGGCGCGAAGTTTATAAATATTTTCAAAGGGGGGCGCGGCTCAAAAAGTTTAAGAACCACTGCACTAGACTTAACAGGATTTTATATCATTATTTGAGATTTTTTTAACGGCGATACCGAGTTGGCAAGATTGCAAGAATACGTACTAAAATTAAATACATCAGGCGGTTTATCTCGTACTTTCAGGTCACAGATCGCCGTGGACCGAATAATAATGTTTTTTTGATGTAAGTAGAAGCAACCGCGAGTTACGTTGGACACATTAAATTAATATATAAAGATATTTTAGAATCTCGTAGTTGTCATGGATTGAATATTTTATGCAACAGGATAATCATTACACGCTGAAAAGACGGCTCTTTTAACGAGCGCGGAATCGCGGTGGCCGGTGGGTGTTACATGCGGCAATGGGAATTTCCGATTTCGAAAATCCTGGCTGCGCGGCTGGCAGTGGTGGTCATCTATTCTCTATTAATTTATTTCTAAATTCAAACACAACAATATGTTACACATATTAACAATATGGTTCACATAAATTAATATACAAATATACTGGTAGGTAGTAGAATACTCTAAGCTTAAATATTAGAATTTTCAAAGGCATAATGGATTTTCGATTGTTGTTGCTTGTTTCAGTTGCCTGTATTGTCAATAAATTTGATTATTCACAGAAAATATACACAATTATCTGAATACAAGTAGTATTTTTATCAATAGACCTGACTATTATCGTAATATCATGGTACCAATGATAGAAAGCGCCAGACAACTCCTTGGCTAACTTTTCATATGGTCATTTGTACAAAGTGAATAATTTTAATAAACTTACAAGTTGCTATTATTTTTTATTGAGAGCTATAAACTATCAATTACTTTGTGTACATATACTGTTGGTTTGTGGCTTTATTCTGATATTTCTATTGAAGCTTATTCCCTACTTTACTGGGTTTTAATAAACTAAAACAAAAATGTGTTATTTTCGATTTTAGAAGGTATTCGGAATTCCAGATTCGAAAACATTATTTTAGAATGTATTCGGAATAGTTTAGTATTCGGAAATGGCCATCCCTGATGACAGCAAATGATAGCAAAAGAGAATTAGAGTGAACAAAGTTATGCGCGTATAAACCGAATTTTCAGCACGATCAGAGGTATGTGCGTTTAAGTTGACCCCTCAGTTTGGCACCTTTATTAGTTCTATTCGAGTCCATACGGTAGTTACAAAAATGCATTGTTTAAAAAATTTCAATTTGAAAATAAATAAGAAGTGTACTTTGAAAAAGTTATTTCTCAATAAAATATGGCATAATCACATTGAAAACATATTATTTAATTTTTGGAGTATTCAATTATGATTTGTTCAAATAGGATGAACGTCTTTACAAATTGACATGGTATTTATATAAATACCATTTATATAAATACCATGGTATGATTCATATTTTAAAGAAACACTTCCAAAATCTACATCCAAATACAATGCCTACCACCTCACCTAGGGTGTAATAAATTAGGTAGGTAACGGCGAACTCCGAAAACACTGGTAATCTCAAAAACAGCAGCTCTTTTCATATCAGAGGCTGCTTGTGTAAGCCAGGGGTGTGCAACCTTAATAAATACACGAGGGCTGAATATAATAACTGGGTGAAACCGTGGGCCGCGCCTTTATTTAACTTAGGCTTCCTAGTAGTTGCAGGTGCAAATATTTTGGTAGTTGATCTTATGATATGCATTGTTTGCTTCGCACAAGCTAGCTGTTAGGGCATTGTAAGGCCATAAGCATAGATGATAAATTGGACTCAGGTATAGGTTCTACAACGCAAATGGATTGGAATTACTCGCACATACCAGATTAAACTAAATTAAAATCTCGTTTTTTTGTGGGCTGCACACTATTCAAAAATGGCACTTCTCCGCGAGCCGCACAATTTTTCTGTGGATCGCATTTGGTCCACGGGTCGCAGGGTGTAGAGCCTTTTCAGTAGTGAAGATGCCATATAAAAAATTCAATTCCAAAGCCCTTTATATTTCCAATAATCATAATTTATCCAGATTGATGATAAAAATTTACCTGCACACTGCAGTTGACTAAGAATTTGTGCTCCTTCAAATAAATCATTCTTCATTGCTAAGTTGGGTTTGACACATCTTATGAAACTAGATCCAGTCGTGTTCAATTTTTCCAACAATTTTGACAATTGGGTCTAAAGCATATTGTGAAATGTTATTAGTCTTGTAAAAAAAATGAGGTAAATTTAAATACAATTTAACTGTAAATAGAGTAATTTCAATTACAGGTACAATTTAGATTTTAATTTTAATAGGCATATGAAATTTGGTACATGTATGGCGATTTTGTTAAAAAATATTTCAATTATATTTGTATTGGGATAACTACCCCAGAATACTATTTATCGTAGTTATGAATGAAATTGAAAATTGGATGGAACTTTACAACTGTAAAAATCTATTATATCCACGATAAAAAATAAGATAATGATAAGGAACAAGCATCCTGATGACTTAGAAAGATATCTAATCAATATAAAACTGAATAGAAGAACTCGATACTCATGCTTTTACACATTCGAAATGAAACAGTATAAAACAATTCCATGAACATGATAGAAATAAGTTTTAGCCGATTTTTTTCTAGCATATCCATCAGCACAAATCTCTGCAGATAGTACATATGGTATTTGAATGTAATGAGCAATATAACTTAAAGTTTCATACAAAGCAAAATAGTGATGTCTCAAATCTATACTCAGAACAAAAGTGCAAGCAACTAAGCTCAAAATATTATGCAATACAATGGTACATGCAGAGACATAAATAAAAGAATAACGATACAAGGTTTTCTTCTTACACAAATTGAAAAGCATATTTGAATGTGATGCAAACCATTTTTGTCATAAGAAACAATGTCAATTATTTTGATTTCATTCTTACGCATTCCAAAATACCCAAAATATTAACAAATTATGTACCTAAACAACATAGATAGATTGCATATCCATACTACTTCGTTTTAGCCGTCGTGTCCATATATTTAATCAATGCTCTCTTGTTGAATGGTCAAGAGGCAACCGAGATGTGTGGTTTAGGTCATCTCACTCGGCGACGCGCTCGGGTGTTCGAGCAACGAATTTTAAATCGCATTTTTGACTAGAAATATTTGGTCGATTACAGAAGTGTTCCAGTATCAGGTCATTCGACTACTGAGGTATCATGGAATTTTCGCCACAAATTAATGGAGATACTGAGATATGAAGGCAATTCTCCAACAGAAAATTACTCCCCATTGTTAACTACTGCCGAGTCTCATGTTCAAAGTTTTGAAGTAAGAAGTGTCCAGTACTAATAAGAGTAAAAATTTAATGATCTACAATGACCGTTTTCTTCCAAAATACCCTGAATCAGTTAATATTTTACAATATGTGCTGTACTCCAAATATAATAAAATAAAAATAATTCACCAAACTTTAAATCCAAACAACACAAAAATCAGGTCCAAATAGAGATGCCCAGAATTTTGCACTTTACTTATCACTCGTGCCAACCAACAGTAAGACAATTTTTCTAACCACTTTTGTTTATGGGCATCCCTAATTCGATACAAATTTTAATCAAACTGATTGTATCCATCAACCAAAGTAACACAAATGATGAGACTTACTGAAGACAGTGCAACGAGCTATATTCTTTGTCCAGCTGTTTATTGTATAAATATGAAAGGTGACATAATATATATAGATAATTTGTTTATCAAAAATGGTATTTATAAAAAAATAAAAATAAGATCTTAACATAAAAAAAAAACCTAAATTGAAGCCGTGAAAATAAACCGTAATACGCTTTTGGCAGTGACTGAAAACAGGGCATCGTATGTATCATATACATATCATATATATAGGTAAATTATGATGAAGACAAATGATATACTGTTTGTATCAAAATACTAACATGCCAAGAAAAGCAGAAAACAAGTTAAAGAACAGGATTCTAAATTTGATATATTTTCAAATATATCAATTATGCTTTAAAGTTGAATTTCGAAAACCAATGTCTACATTCAAAAAATTTAATGAAGTGAAAATGTCTGAATTTTCCAAAGTTTGAAATTTGATTATTTAGGAGAGTTTCCATGAATTCAAGTGGTCAAAACTAATTTATTTATCCTAAAAATTTGCTATTTTTAAAAAGTCAACATATATGTCATTTTACCGTAATGATTGACAATACAGAATTCCATAATCATAGAAATGTAATAAATCTTCAATAAAAATCAAGGCACTACTACCAGAGGAAGCGAAAAAATGTTATATAAAACTCACAGCAAGCAATGGGAAGTCACAAGTCGAAACTCTATCTTCAGAAAGATTACTTATAATACAGTCAAACACTGCATTCATTTTAGTATCTTTTTCATTTCTCAAAACTTACCCGAAAACAGGCACTGACACTTACAAACTTAAGTGAATTAACTTTCCTCAAAGTTTGATTGATCTAACAATATATCGTGATTATTGATTAAGTATTTTTTCATCAAATCAATGATGATATTTCTAGCTATTTCTACCAAAAAAATGTGACAAGTTATAAAATTTATCAGTGGCTACCATTTAAACAATTTTTTACTTAGTTTTAGTATAAAATAATGATAAGTTTCTTGCTCTGAACAAGATTCTGCACAAGCAGTCAAACAAGCAGGGGTGAACCAGTGGGAGGGGGGGCAGACCCCCCCCTTTTTTTTTTGAAATATAAAACAAAGCATTTCTCTATATAATACATAGCAATTTTTGGCAGCTTGAAATGCTTTTTAGGCCTTCAAGACTCCTAAGAACTAAACTTTAGACAGAATCTTACTTTGAATTTAGTTCCCACACTGATAAAAGAAAGTTTCCCTTTCGTTGATTTTGCATTTCCATTTTCAAATAGTCGACGAACCAATTGATCTTGACTACTTGAAATAAGAACTTCAAGTGAATGATGGAGAGCGTCATTGTTTTTTTCAACAAATTGTGCCTGAAATATATCATGAAATGTTACTGAAATGAAAATTCAAACCAAGTTGGAACATTTAGGCAGGACATTATGAGTAAATAAATAAGGAAACTAAAGTTTAAAATGAAATTTCTATTTATTTGTCAACAAAATCCTGAACATAAATCCCTATGTGCTGTTTGTTGATAATGGATTTAGAGGAAAAAACTCAATGAATACTCAATTTGGTAATATGCAAGCATACATCATATGTCCCACAAGCTTCATTAAAATCTTGGGCAGCATATTCAAAAAAAGCATTTCGTTATATATAACCCAACACAGGGATGCCATGATGAAATACAAAAAAAATTATATCTTACAGTTTGGTAGCAAACAGCTCCAGCAAAATGACGTATAAGAAAGCCTTCATCATCTCGGAGATTACGATGCTTCGTCAACTGAGATTTGCGAGGAATCTAGCAAAAATATTTATACATGAACTCAATGATTCAATGATAAAAACTAAAGGCCTATAAGAAATGAAAACAATGAGTGTGAAAGCATAACTTTACCACAATAAAATTTAGCACAAAAAAATAGGAAAATCCGTATTCCTCAAAACAAGAGAGCAATGCTCAAATATATGGACGTCAAAACGGAAGTAGTGCGGGTATGCAATCTGTCACAGTAGACTACTGGTACCAGTCTTCCCGACTTCGTCTGACCGCCAGATGACAACTAAACGGGATTCGCAACAAGGTGCGCAATCTTTAGTTTTGATAACATCATCGCATACAAAACAACAAATCCCATAAAGCCCACTCAAATTTTTTAACTAAATAAAAGCAATAGCCTTCCAGCAGAAAATACAATTTTTAACTACTGGAAATTTCAAAGCAATTATTTCAGTAGTTAATGAGAAAAGAGATTATTCACAACAAGAATAGAACTAACACAATGAACAACCACAACAACAAAATAACAGAACAATCAATATGTGCACTTAATAGCGACATTGTCAATATAAGTAGCCAGACTGAAATTTCATTACACTGATATTAATTTAAATACATTTTTTGGGAACTAAAATCAAAAATCTGATGATAAAAATGAGAAAATCGAAATACACAAATTTACATACATTTTTAACAAGTATAGTGTTCTTACCGAAATGCGAAAATGATTTGAATGTTTCTTGTGAACAGTAGATGTAAAATTAGAAGGAGATGGCCGAGGAAGTTTATTTTCTTCATCAAGAATATCAAGGATTCCTACTTTGGGAGATTCAACCAGATCTACAGATAAAAAATGAAATCATAAAGATAATTTATACAATCACATTTTTGCTATATACCGTATTTTACGGGCTATAAGGCGCATTTTTAATACTTTTTTTCTTAAAGATCGATTGAGTGCTTCATAAGTCGACGCGCTTTATGTCTGAAAAGGTAATGTTTTATTGCCTACACTCAAAACCAGTATCAGTACAGGTTGTGCTTTATAGCTCGGTTCGCCGTATGTATGAATATAAACCCAATCTGGGCAATTTTTTGATAGTCTCATAGTCCGTAAAATACAGTAATGAAAATCTTCAATGATTCCGCGGCCGCAGCCAGGGATGTCAATAACTTGGTATTCTAGAATTCTACAGAGTAACTCGTCAAAATGGAAATCAAAGCTTCAGATTAAAATGATTAAAAAAATGTTCTGATGGCCAAGCATTCTCAATATACAATTAAAAAAAGCTTGATTAGGCGGTAAGTGTTCAAGATTGGTTATTTTCAAAATCTGAAGTTTAAGTAAAACTTTCTTCTATCTCAAGTTGAAGTCAAAATTTTTTGTAACTGCCGAGACAGGAGTCATTTTTTTAATAGCTCTGGGTTTGGAATGGTACTCTGTGTATATTTTATCACACTTCGTACTCCTACTTAAGAACACGACCGACTAGAATCAAATCAATCAAATTGAACTGCCATTATGTTAGTATCATTAGATGTACTAAACATAAGGATAGGATTTACGTATTTATCCAGGGGGAAAAGAAAGTCGATAAGAAGGCTTCATCATATGGTAAACCATGGCCTCTCATTCGTTTACCAATCCATGTCAGGTGGGGGATTAGTTAGCCAGTTATTGTTTTTAGAAGGATGTACTTGATGTTGGAGGAAGCCGTAATCGGCCAGCGGAAACCAGCCTGTGGCGGCGAGGAATTCAGCAATCCTCTCACACATAATTAGGCCTGCATAGGATTCGAACCTGCAATGCATGCAGGGCAATCACAGGTGCGGTGGATAGCGTATTCCTCACGCTTAGCACTATGCGCCACATCATAAGTTCATCAAATAGATTTATTACGTCAAGTGTCATGGATTAGGTTATTTAACAGCATACTGCAATCGTAAATAAAGAATACAATATATATGTTACCAATGCAGTCTTGATTATCTGTGTAATTCACTTCATGGACTCCCAATCCTTCCTTGGAATAAAGTTCTTGTTCATCGTGCAAAACTCTCATGTTGAAGAATTGCTGAAGTTTTTCGTTACAATAGTTGATGCAAAATTGTTCGAAGCTGTTGGTTTCAAAGTATTCTGAATGTAAGAAAACACGCAAGAATAATAGATGTCACAGAGAAAAACAAACACAACATGTGAATTTGTAAGCAGGTGGACATAAACAGGCAGGTAACACATGGATGTTCTGCCATGGCTGTGGATCTGTCTGGCATGTTTTCACTAGAGTGGGAGTCGAAATTGTGAGTCTAGATTTTCGATGGTGATAAAAAAAATTCAAAATTTCCAAAGAAATTCAAACCACAACAAGTTTACTGAGCGAAATTGCAAATATCCAAAGTTGGAAATTATATTCAAATGTTCTGACAAATCTCAAAAAAATTATTAAATTGACTATGAATTCTCTACAGAACAATTGAAGGGGGTTACATATGCTATACCGAACTCTTTCGAGGCAACTGTTGACTGAAAATGCTTCAGTCAAATCCCTGCTTTTTTGGAACATATCAAGACTTCAGATATTAAAATTTTTAAATTTATACAGACTCCCAATGCCAGAGAGTTAAAAATTTCGACGCAAGTTCTGACTCCAAGGAAACTGGAGAAACGCTACCTACTACTATGTCAATGAATATTTGCATCCCAAAAAATCAGACTTCCGAATCTGGTCCCACTGTCCTGACAATACGTCAATTGTCAATAAAGTAAAGACAAAAAATCTCACCAAATCCAGCAATATCTAGAACTCCAATATAGCATTGGGAAGATTCAAATGGAAAGCATTCATTGATTCTAGCAACGACATGATCAAATAAATGAGAGTAGATTGCTTTAGCAAGAGCTTCTCTGGCACTCGATGCTTGCTCTTCTTTGAGAGGTACTCTGCAATGGAAATGAAAATCTTCCTAAAAAATCCGAAAGAATAGAAAAACTAAAAAAAACTAAGAATAAGATGGTGAAATGCTATTCAGGTGATACTCTAGTGATGCTAAGATCTTTTGAAATTCAGTATCCGTCGGACCTATAGTTGAAAAAACAAAGTCAACTCTTTTTAAAATGAGTCAAAGTTTATTGTAAACAGAAATCATGGTACCCAACTAGCATAGCAAGCTAATCAGAAAATAATTTGATTACAGTCAGCACTTAATCACATTTACGCTGAATACATATGGCGAAGCATGTAATCCAAATAATAGTCTTTCTGACGTTTGAAAAACCAAAAAGTCGGATATTTTCAATTTAGTACTTCAAATTAAAAATGCATAAAAACCAATATGTTTACTATTCCGAATATACTTTGAAATAAGGTTTATTATAAAATAGTAGGTATATTTATCAAAGTAAACAGCTCAGGTATATCTTTGATGAGATTGTTCTCAGATACACAGGAGAGTTTTTCATGAGGAGTTCTAACACCCCATTCTGAACAAGGCTTTGGTCAAGTCACTCCTATTTTAGAAAAACGAAAAATTTTTGTTGGATGTTGTTCACCCAATTCAATTCACCCTGGGTATGGGGTATAAAACTAATATCTTAATTCTAGGATGCTAAAATGATAAGATTGAATTATGGAATTAATGAAATTTTTATCAGCTTTAACTTGTACATACTTTATAGTGTTTGTTTCTCCAGCAGAAGTCATAGATCTTGTAGTGAGAGCTTCAGTCAAGGCTTCTTGATCAAGTCCAAGTAATTTTGCAACAATGCGAACAGTTTCTACACTGCTGTCACAAACCATGCAACCGCCTGAACATTGGGAAATAAACTTTTCAGATCGTTTACATGTCTTTCACTTTGAACAAAGTTCTTGAAATAAATAAAGTAATAGCCTTCTGGCGAAAAATACAATCTTCAACCAACGAAACTTTCAAAGCAATTGGTCCGGTAGTTAATGGTAAAAGCGATTTTTTCCACACCAATAAGAAGAAATGAATAACAAGAACAACAACATAATAACAAAACGATCCATATGTACACTTCATGTCCAACAAAAGAAAGAGAACTCAATTGTATAAACACAGGTAGCCCATGTAAGTTACGTGGCAAAAACAACAATTTTGGAAACAATAAAACTTCGATGTTCAAAAAGTCAAAACACAAACCTGAAGATCCTCCACTGTCTTCAAATTTGACGTTACCGAGGTGTAAAACTGCGGCAACAACTCGAAACAAGTGAAACATTTCATCTTTAGAAAGTCCAATATCTGCCATCGAACTTTGCATCCTTGCGAAATCTCTGTAATCGTCCAGCAATGGGTCATGGAGGCTTCCCTTTTTCTTGTGCTGTAATATTTAAGAGGAAAATATTGACTATTATGAAGCAGTCAGAACCTGAAATTTATATACCATGAACAAACTTCCTAAAAGTTGCAGTTGCAATTTGCAAAATTAACTTATAAGAAAGAAAGGTATAGACAACAAAATTAGGGTAAAATAGCTAGATAGCCCAATTTTAAACATTCCAAAAAAATTAAATTGAAACTAAATTCACAATATTCAAAAATGTTTTTCGAGAATTAATAAGTTCAGATTCAACTTAGACATATATCCAACCATATATTCAATTACACAAACTTGAAATTTCAAAGCAAGATTTTTCATAATAACACTAAATATATAAAAGATATTATTCGAAATGCAAAATCCAGGAAGACAGAAGATCATACATTGCTCAGGGTAAAATTCTTTACAAAAGAACAATTTATAAATATAAAATCCATATATACCTCAGCTGATATGCGTTTTGCATCAACTTTAGACGTACTTTCTTTCGACAGGAAATACTGGGTGGATCCATTACTAAGATACTGAACAAAAAAGAATCAATGATATTATTTTAATTTCTCTTCGTACGTTTTGAAACAAAGATATAATGTACAAGAAATGTTAACTGAGGAAGTCTGATTTTGGTCAGACAAAATGTTACAGAAGAAAAATTGTGGAAGTGCAATACAAAATCTTTTAAATACTCAATGTATAAGTACCATAATTTTGATCGGGGGTGTTGCCTGTGAGTTTTTACTTAAGTTTAATTTGGTATGTGGGGGAAATTCGAATCCCTTTCTGTTGCAAAGCCTATACCGGAGTCCACAATTTATTATCTATGCCTAGTACATACAAAGCATGTCATGAGATCAACAACCAAAATTTTTGTGCCTTCAACCACTGGAAAGCCCATATTAAATAAAGGTGTAGGCAGCGGTTTCCCACAGTTTGTATCTGTCCCTACTGTATTAAAGGTTGCGAACCCATGCTTGATATTACCCAATTTAAGACATTCAATACTTCATATTTGAAGATATTTTCCAAAATGTTCTTCTTTAAAAAATGATTTGTTTTTGGTGGCATTTCTGGATTTCTGGTTTCATTATTTGAAAATCTTTCAGAAGATACATGCGAGATGTGACACATGCAGGAAATGTTAAAATATTACTATAATAGTTGCATGTTAGTGAAGACTAATGTCAAGTAATATTAATGAGTTAGTCAATTCGGGGAATACACATAAACATCGTTTGTAATAAAATTAAAAAAAAATTATGCCCGGGCATAGTTGGAATGCTATAATATAATGGGCATCATGTACAGCACTATGCCTATGTTACTTATTATGTCTATCTTAAGGTTATATTGCATGCATGGAAGCAAGCAAACATACGGAATTAAAGAAGATTGGTTGTCTGTGAAATTGTTATCCAATACTGTTTTCCATTCAAATTCATCTAAGTTAATAAAGTATAATTTGAATCAATTGTTGCATGTTGACACATTGATATCAATTTTCTAAATTGTGTATTTCTTGTCCTCGTACCGTATATATTTCATTTAAAAAAAAAATGACTGATATTCGAACAATTTTCAATTCCAAACGTAAAATGAATTTATGCAACACTGCTTCGAGAAGTTTTTTTAATTATAATACTTAATAGTAACTGGTCATATACTGCTGCTTTAAATGCCCAAAAATGTTATTGAATATAAGTACCAGGTGTAATAGATGGGTGGGCAATGCAGAATCAGAAAAATTGCTGCCACTTTCTCCCCTCCCCCCAAAAAATAATACACTTTTCTTTGAGAAGGCTCAAAAACTAAATTCAAATAATTCTCAATACATATATTTCTGCGCATTTCGAGGATAATTATAGAAGTGTAGGTGTTTTGCTATAATTGACATTCAATCCTATTTTTGAAACTATAAATTATTAAGTTTTTTTTTTTAAATTCGAACAAATAAATTACTTGAGAACTGATATCCATTTGGGTAATAAATTTGTTTTTGCAATTTTCATTCAATTTAGTAATATGCCACAACAATTTCTCGTTTTGGGCCAATAAATATTTTATGAAGATATAAATATTTTCCCGAACTATAAAGTATTCTGCTGTGGGCTTCACATTATTGTCCTTTTTCTGTTTTGAATTGAACTAAGATTAACGTGAAACAAGAAAAAAAAGCTCACATACTCTGAATTTATCTGGAGACATAAGATGTAATTTCTCTTGAATATCTTGTGGTGCTCCACAACACAGTCTATAAAAAATGTGATAATTTCTTTCCTTGGAGTTTTGCAGCACAATTCGTGATTTTTCAAGCAAATAATGAGATACAAAACCACCGACAACTTTGTTCTAAATAGAAATATTTTGCTTTAAGCAAGGTCATGAGAAGTAAACTCATCCAGAAGTAAAGGAAGCTCATTTAGGAGGGAAGATACAGACAACCAGTGAGGGGCCAAGAACCACTAGGATTGTACAAATTTACGATGGTGAATTATGCGCTAGCAAGTACAGATTGCACAAGGCAATATGATCAGAAAATAGTTACAGGGTGCTGAATTCCACATAACTGGAATGAAAATTCCTTTTTACCGAAGGTGAAAGGCAGGGATGTCCAAAACCGAATACTTTACTATTTCAAATACATTCTGAGAAAATATTTCTCGAATATGAAATATTGAATATGAGTACATTCTAAATTGGAGGCACGCTCACATGAAAAATTACGTAAAGCACTATATCTTCATGTTGATCACATCTAAAATGACTTTAATATAAAGGACATTTTTTTTTCCTTGTGTTGTTTTGTTACCAGTTGAGATATGATTCGTTTTGATCTACTTGTCTGACGACTCAAAATCCCCAGTGTATTTGAATATTCGATTCGGTTTGGACAACTGACAGCAGTCTCAGTCAGTCAACTCAGACAGCAAAAAGACCTCTCAGTCAATAGAGTATTATGGCTGTGAACATTTTCGATGGACAAATTTTATAAAAATCAGAAAAATGGTGAAAAAACAATACAGCATCAACATTTTGAAAAAGGCCCGCAGGATACTTCATATAACTTTTAATAGGATCACTATCATGCCAGAAGGCCAAATCAGAATCCCCGCTTTTTCAGTACATGTTAATTTGATGTTTAAAATGTGATTTGGTCAGCAATATGGTGAATCAAAAATTTCCATGTAAATAAGTGATGAATATCAATTTATGGGTTCAATAAGAATAAATAAACAATAATTTTCATTTCAAACCATCTGAGGATTTGTATTTTAAATTCCTGCTTTGAATTTATGAGATAACTAATCGATGTTTATGAGTTACATATGGATGGATATAGAAAAGCAAATAGGACTCCTAATATCATATAAATTACATGAAATCTCGAAACCACAAAAACCACCTCAAGTCTCAAATTATAATTCAACATAGGTACTGTGTTTCCCCCGAAAATGAGACTGGTCTTTTTTCAATTTTCTTTCAAAAAATAACACTAGAGCTTATTTTGGGAGGAGGGCTTATAGTAAAATCATTTTTAAAATTCTGGCTAGGTCTTATTTTCGGGTAATCACCGTAGGTAAGTCATGAATGAGCAAAAATATTTTTATACAAGAGTCTGGCCTGTGGATCATTTTGTAAAATTGCTGTTAGGGATGGGCAATATAGAATACCGAATCCGGAGGATTCGAATCCCAAAGTATTCGAATCCAACGGGATCCTATAACATGATTCGGTTTCCGCCTCTCCGGCGCCAAGCGTCAATTTTTGTATTTCGGGTTTCTAATTTATCAATTATAGACGAGCGTTTTTCTCGTGTGGAAATCTCTCTCGTTTAATTAAACTTGCGTCTGCTCGCAAAGAACCCGTAAATCGGTAAACATCAAACACTGTAATTTCAATCGGCATATTCAGGACAAGAAGTCGGCAATATAACCTCACGGCGAGGACTCGTTATTGCACCATTTTTGCGTTTTCCTTCTTTGCTATCCAGCTAGCGTTATTTGTGCCGACTTATTGGTGATATTCCGATAATCTGAATGCAACAATCTTTAATTGTTTACAGACGTGCCTTGCCTCATTTTAAATTAAATGATTTTTCGCGACCTACGAGTTTTCCCAAAAAAATGATGCAAGTAAACCAAAAGCCAGGCGTTAAATGTTATAACATTACTCGCCATAAATTTAGATCAAATATTATTTACGAATAATTTTATTATACCATTTTCCGAAATACAAAGTTATATCGCAAAACGCGAACAACTCTCATTTAAATTTCACTCTTAAAAGATTACATATTTTTCGGTCCGTTTCTATCGTTCAAGATAGACGCACGTTTGATCGAGTGTCTGTAGTATTTTAGTCGCTGATAAATTTTGAAAAAGGTTGCCGCATCTGGCTAAGATAGTGACGTATTGAATTTGAGTAGGGCTAAGTCTGGGTAGATAATGATTAATGATAACATTTCTATCGTTCAAGATGGACGCACGTTTGATCGCAAGTCTGTAGTATTTTAGTCGCCGATGAATTTTGAAAAAAGTTGCCACATCTGGCGAAGATAGTGACGTATTGAATTTGAGTAAGGCCAAGTCTGGATAGATAATGATATGTAACGATAATCATAGAAAATGAGTTCGTCTTCAGATGTTATTACCTAATAACTAAGTACGAAATCGCGTTTACGGGAACTTGGTTTTACGTGTCTTGCTCTCACAGAATAAAAGGTTGATTTTAATTGATAGTGGTTAAATTTAATATTTTACAACGGCGCATAGGTTGCAGTGGCCACACGCTGGTTCTCAGCGGGTTTGTTTTAGTATACTCGGCAGACTTACATTAATAATGATTTAACGCCGTTTCATGTCTATTTTGTATTTAACCGCTTACTATTAAAGTGTGTAAAGCGTGTCTTAATTTAGCATATCAGTATTTATTAGTATTTAGGGATTACATACCTTTGGAACAATTGAAGGCAAAAAATATTGTACTATTCCTAAATTTTATTGTCCTGGGAACTGCCTGTTTTGTATCAAATGAAATCCAATGTTCAGGACATTTCCAAACAGATAATACATTTATAGTAAGTAATACATTTGCAATTTTTTACCATCTAAATCCAGCAATGTAGAAATTCCCACTATTTGAATAAGTATGAAAATAGAATAGGATTCGGTATTCTGGATTCGATTTAACTATTCTAGAATATTCTAGAATATTCTTGTTTTTATATGATAATCGGCACTATTCTTATACCATTTGGCTGAAATTTTACTGACAACACCGTAGTCATTTTGATTTTTGACCTTCACGCCCATATACTAGTATTTTCTTCTATATTACCAAATTATGTTTTGTCTTTGAAATTTTCATTATATATTAAATTGAATACATTCAAGGGCAAAGCATATCGTCAGCGACAACGACAATGAAAACACTTATTCTCTTGTCTTGATTGAAAATAATTGTTTGAATATGAATGAAAAGAACAAAGGCCAAAATCAATGTCGTTCTGGTTAATTCATTCTCAATAATGATTTGTTTTCAGAATATATATTCAGTAATATATTAGTGCAAAATGAAACTAACATAATCTTTGCGCCTTTGTTGCGCTAATGAACCAAGCATGTATGGTACTATATAGGCCCTTACTTAATCCGCATTTTCCTAAATGTACTCATATTACTTCATTTCATCAAACATAAAATTATTTCAATATTGTCATTAGCAACAGGCTCACAACAATAATTGAAAAGTAGCGACATTTGGGAGGAAACATGAAAATTCTTAATGTAGGACAAAATAGAATATGACAGTGAGGGTTGTGAAGCATTTTTAGGCATTGAGATATGACATCATGCTAATATGACATCATTTTTCATTTGGAAATATTTCTATGACCTTTCATGTACTTTAGGGTTCTGAAAAATTGATTTGCTTTGTATTAATAAAACAGATACATGCATTTTCTCCTAAAAATTAACCATATTTTCTTTTTAACCGAGCAGAGGCTTGTATAAGATATTTGACAGTGGAAAAGTAACAAACCTTTTGAAAGATAGTATGGTACTTTTGTGTATTAGTTAAGGACTCCTAACCTAACATTGACAATTTTCTTTGTTTTATCTCTTTTTCGCCAGCGAACTTTCATAAGAAAAATGCGTTCTCGATAGCTGTTTTTCCCAAACAAGCTTAAATGTTTAAATTCTAATTTCAGTGCAAAATATATATAAAGCATTCAGCTTACATTTGAGCTCTTCTATCATTAGTTTTCAGCTCTTACCAGTGTTCAGACATCTAACTTGAAAAAAAAATCGATAAAGTCACTGGAATTTCACCAGATTGACTAAATTAAATGAAAACTGAAATGAAAATCAGTCAAACCTTTTCATCGAAATGAATCTCAACAAATTTTCCAAATCTGCTGCTGTTGTTGTTACGAACAGTTTTAGCATTACCAAATGCTTCCAGTAGTGGATTCGCTAAAAAATAAATTTGACATCTTCACAAATCTTAATTAACCTAAAAACCTCACTGGCTGCTTGTGCAGAGTCTTGTTTGGAGCAAAAGGCATAGAAATATGTTGTGTAATGATATACAAAACGAGTGCATATGCTTAAAAATGTTTGTATTCTCTTTTTTTTTTGACATTAAAATGAGAAAAACCTTGGACAATTCTTTTATCTATCTGTTCTCCACTTCCATACGAATCCGCAAGATATTTTAAAACGAATTTTGTATTCTCAGTTTTTCCGGCACCACTTTCACCAGACACGATCATTGATTGTGAAAGTTTATTCACTTTCATATCACGATATGCTTTGTCAGCTGAATGAAAAGAAAAAATTTATTTAATTAGTAAATAAATGATAATCCTAAATATACATATATATTGTATGACAAAATAATTGGAGAATATCATTTTAAAACTTTGAAATGATTACAAGCCTCCTTATTTGATCTAAAAAACATTGTGATCATTACTTATAAACTTAGTAATCTCAATATAGTACTTTAATTGAAAAAAATTTCTGAAAAAAAAAAATTTCTGAAACATTTTTAAAAAGCTATTAGTGAGTAATGCTGTGAACATGTCATAATATTTTGTGGAATAATTGGTTATTTTGTACTTGAAACGATCACAATGGAATCATTCTATTGATTTTGGGGAATTATTCAAAATAGTTTCATTTGTGAAAAGAAGAATTCAGAGTTTCAGACAAATTTATTTAAAATAGTAACAAACTCTGAATTCTTCTTTTTATGAATGAAACTATTTTAAATAATTCCCCAAAATCAATAGAATACAAATAATTACAAATGGATGCGAATATTCGAGTACATAATTGTACCGTAATGATTACATTACATTCTCCATGAAACAAAACTTAATTTTCACTATTAACTACCAAAATCATGGAGAGTTCCCGACAAGAAGCCAAGTGGGTTGAAGTTGTGATAGTTTTATTCTTTTAAAAATACAACAATCAATTTTATGAATCATGATGATTTTCAAGTGTATTGAGTGCCTAGAAAAGGCATGATAACAAGTTAATAGTCTATTAGAAAGAAATTTTCAGATGCAAGTGCTGTGCCAACTAGGCAAGCAACAAAATATTTGAATAAAAATTCAGAGTTTCCAACAATAATTCCAATTGTAAAATATATAGTAGAAGCAAACACTTCTTCGTAAAAATGTGAAACATTTTTTGGTATTACGCTAACATATAAGGCAAACTTTATGTTGTAACATTTCACATTATTATAATACACGCCCCAAAGATAAATGAACATTTTGAACATTCAAAATATTTTTAAACAGGTGTGTCTAAATTATATTTCGATTAAACTAAGTTCTTCAGAAATTTGTGATACTAGTTATATAGTCAATCATAAACTGAAATAGACAGAGATACACGTACCATCCCACCCGGTAGGTATGTGTGTTTAATCAATACACACAAAATTACGTCACTTAAATGTCTATAGTTCATACAACAAAATTGCTATTTTAGAAATATCTTTACTCTGCATAAATGAATGTAAACATTCAAATTTATAGAATGGAGATATCAATAGAGAATAGAAATAGTAATCTTTCGATATCAATTTATAAAATTCTTTACAATAAATTATTTTTCATTCCTGATTTTTTATAAAAAGTTGGACACACCCATCATATTTGATTTTATTTATATTTTGCACACGTCCAAGAAATTAGTCGATCAGTAGCCGTGTTGGAGCAATTTGAAGATTGCTATTATTCATAAACTAGGCAGTGTTGTGAAAGTTCAATAACACCAGTTAAAAACATTTCTCATGAGTAATTTTTTATCAAATTTTTTTTTGATAATTTCAAATTTAAATTTGATTTGATGAATACCTCAAATAACTTCCAAAAATTCAGATCTCAATTACCACAAAAAAAAGGTTAATAAATTATACCCACAGTAAACCCCAGGTATCAGATATACCAGTATTTTTTCATATCAATTTTTGGCAAATAAATTATCAAGCTGCATATTACCAAAGAAACTCAATAGCCAATAGACTAGTAGTTTATTATATCTTCAACTATGATGAATATGAAAAAATTACAATATAATCCTTTCAATACATTCCAGCTCAGTATAATAACGAAGCAAAACAAACAATGAATTGGTGAAAATAATAACCAGTTACAACAAGAGTAAACACTATTATACCCGGTTTAAACAATCAAACTAGCTATCAAATTCAAAATTCACCGACACGCAAAGTAATAAAATTGACATAAAAGACGTGTTGGCCCTAAAAAGGGCGGTGTTAACTCCTCTGGGAAGTTGAATAATGGAAAATCATAATTTGCTTATACTTCTGTCACATCTTAGAAATACGAGCAGCTATATTTTTCTATGAAACAGTTATACAATTGTAATGGTCTGTGGTTATTGTGTTATGACTATCCTAACTATATTGGTGTCATACAGGGATGGCCAAAACCTATAATTTTACAATTCAGAATACATTCTGAGAAAATAGTCTTGATTATGGAATATCGAGTACATTCTAATTTGGGGGCGAGTTTACGTGGAAAATTACATAAATCAATACCGGTATTTCTTCATTTGATCATATTTAAAACGACATAAATATAGAATCTTTTTAATCTGCTTGTTTGGCAGTCCATTATCTCTAATTTTCAAATATACAGTAAAGATTCTAAATTCCCAAATTGAAATTTTTTTTATGTTGAATAAAATGAAATTTGAATGCAATCGGACATTCAATTCGTTTTGGACATCCCTGGACTCACATTCACATGTCAAATAAAACCCCGTACATACTACACCATCCAAAACGAATAAATTGGGTTAGCAATATCGAATGGGATGTAAAGATTCTGATACTTCTGATACAATGTATATGGACAGCAACTATTCAGATAATCATAATATTTCTTATTCAGAATGGTGGAAATAATCAGTTTCAAATTAAACCTTCAAAACCATGAAAACGCAATTAACAGTGTTAAACTCTGTTTGCTTTTGAACGTTGAAAAACGTGCCAAAGTATTTTGAAATATCATAAATAAATCAAACCAAATATCATTAATAATGCTGGAAGATAAATACCTAAGTGGTGGCGGAAATCCTACGTATTCATGAAAAGACTTTATAACTGTACTTGCCTATTGCATAACAGTGAGGTGGCATCACTCCCAGAGATTTTCCCCTGTAATTTTTTATGGAATCAGCATCATACATCTTCTTAATTTCTTTGTAGGGATTCACAGCAATCAAGATGTTAGCTACATAAGTCTGAACAAAACAAGATACATTTTATATAAGTTTGGACAAAGCAAAATCAAGAGTCCCCAACAAACAATTTGGAAATACTAACTGAAAATTCGGGTTCGGTCTTAGTTAGCCAGGTATTTGGAAACATGGCCTTGATGGTGGAGGCAGTGAGGGGTCCTGCAATCCTCTTGCACATAACTATATCCACAAAGGATTCGAACCTGCAAACACACGCAGGATAATCAGAGGTGCAGTGCGACAGTGGCGAGCGTATTCCTAATGCTTAGCATGATGAACCACACCGCCGAGCAGAGTTTTATTCCGATGGTCAGAGATATGGGGTTCAGGACTCGGGTTGACAAAAATTTTGTATTGACTTGAAATTTTGAAAAAAAAAAATATCAACCAATAAAAACATGTCAACCTCGAGATTCCCCAACCTTGCTTATACTCAAGTTAATAAAAATCTAGATTAGTTTTCGTATCACATTACGAAAATCATTTTCTTTTAAATATTTATAACCCTACCAAATAAGTTATATCAAGACTTACATAAATTTTATCCTTTTTGTATCTCACTCTCAGGTTGTGGAGAAGAGTAGCTTCATTGAGGTACATGAGAGCACAATTGTCATCCATCTCTTTATTATTGTCTGGTTCAGATGGAAACACTTGGCTGTAAGGGGCAGACGTGGGCTGAAAAACAATGACAATCATTAAAATTCAGGTTAAATTCTTCGTTTTCTGACAAGTTATTGGATCCAATACTAAAAAATCCACTTTTGCTATGTCCCAATGAAATAAATGTTGAAACGCCAAAATATGGAAAAATGAAAATACCTTTTCATTTTTCGAAAATGGTTGAACTGTAATTGTGCTGTGACCAATATCAGTGATGGTTCCCAGCATGAATCCATGTTCAGGGTGCGGAGCCCAAACAACTTTCCCGCTATCCATCGTTGCGTCCTGATTCCTGAGTTCAGGTTGAAACAAGCTATCAAAAGATCATTGGTACACAAGCTACATGAACAAATGGTAATTAACTTAACAATTAGGTTAAATTCCTTGAAAAAAATAACAAAATTTTCATGCAATTTGAGTGTAAAACTACTCGTAAAACTGAATTCAACCTCTGATTTCAATTAGAAATGTATCTTTTTGAATAATTTATTGAGTGTGGGCAGTTAGCTGGTTAAAGATCCTAAAAATGACATCTATGTAAACAAAAAACACGGGCAAAAAATTTAATTGAATCTTAATTGGAATTACACTATACAAAGAAAATGAATAGAAGAATATATTGATATGTGAAAGAGTGAATCAAACTGGTTCTCCAGCGAAAAGTCTTAAGCGTTCTTTTAACTTAGTGGGCCACAAACACTTCTGTGGAAACCATGAACAAAGTCTTCGGCTATGTATACCATACTGTGAATAAAAAGTGAATCACTCCCCTCGATAATTATAAACTATGAGGCCGAGTCTTGGACTATGAAGCTTGAGTTATGGACTTGACAGATAACTCTAATTGTACTTGGGTTACTTTTTTATCAAAGTGACTACACTCAACTCAATAAAATAACTTGACATCAACTAACGGCTGTTAGATTCGACTAAGTGCTGAAGTGATTGATTCAACTCAGACTACTACTACAGTACTGTAATTTTGTCGTCTAACATTGCTAGATATGTAGAAGCCAGCCCACACTTGTTTTTGTTAGGCCATACTCGGTGTACCTGCAGACCTGATTTTGCATTTGTCTGTTTGTGTGGGATGTATCACATGGTCTATATATTATTGGAGCAACCAAGTTTTTATGGAATATCGTTTATAAAGCCAATAAAATATAGGAAAATAGTTGGTTAAACTGCAGAACTGTTGAGCGCAGGTTGAGTAAGTGTGTTGGTGTAATAGTGACTAGACTCAAATTTATAGACTTCCAGCATAGGCATTTATAGGCTGGGGTGACTTTCTGACTTTGGTGTAATAGTGACTAGACTCAAATTTATAGACTTCTGTATGTCTGTATGTAAACCTAGTACAGTAGTAATGCTGAGCATTACCTCAAACTGCATAATAGGTCATGTTGATGCCAGGTGTTCAAAAAGTATAACAAACCGCTGGACCGGAAGTTCAATACATTCGAGTATCTTTTGTATGATTATTTCTGGCCCAAGCCTCGTTTTTACTAGGTTTGTGTTTTTTGTAATTTATTTTTGTGTGTGTGCTGGTGAGCGGGCACATGATATCTCTCATGCTTTAAACTTTTTAAAGGTTTTTCCGCTCTCCATAATTCTCCATTTTGAATTTGTGTATATAATAACTGAATAAAGAAAGAAAAAAAATATTCTCAGTTCATGACTAAATCCCAATTCTGCAATTTCAGACTACCAACTGACTGACCAAACAGACAAAAGAGAATTAGTTTTACTACCACTACAGAACTTTGCAATACATCAATACCGGTACCAATACCAGATACAATGTGACTCGTATCTAGTCTATTCATTTCACTGTTGTTTTTGAAATCTACCACGGTTTAATATGATAGCGTAATATTTCGCACCTTAAGTTTTCGCTCAGAAACGACAGTACCGTACCGGCGTTTATTTGGGAACTACCTTATGAAAGTTCGCATTAAGTAATTGGCACCTAATTGCTTACGTTTTAGTCACTTTGATTGGTACCGACGTCTAAAACAATATTTGTGCGGCGCCTTTGGTGTCGACCCGGACCATGCGATGTGACCATAAATTGGCTACATATTCTTTTTTCGGTGTCAAGGAGGGATCCTAAACTCCCCTAGTCACCGTGAAATGGTTTATGCCCCGGAGTGTCCCTACTAAACTCCTCTAGTCCCCGCAAATTGGTTTATACCACCATTTGACGGTTACCGACACGGCTTCTTTTACCTTCCTGAATTGTAGCAATCATGAAATAGATATCGGTACATTGATAGTTGGTAACGGGGAATTCATCAACACATTGGTGGATGTTCAAAGTGTTATATGCCTTAGCCCGGCTTAGCCGCAATTTATTTAGGTCAGTCACCCTTTGATGGAAACATATACAGTAGTGAAATTTGCCATGGAAACGTGAGCACACGTAAAGAATACTACATATTATGGGAAACTTCACTTACGTACTAACCAGTTTTGGCTACATGGAATGGCGACATGGTGCAGCATAATTTTTATATTAGCATTATAAATACTGGTGACCTAATCAAAGCCATCTGATCTAATCATAACAAGTTTTTGAGTGATGTCTAGCTCCCAGTCGAACAAGATTGGCTCATTAAAAAACAAGACTGAAAAGGCAGTGGAATCAAAACATAAAACTCAAGCTAGGCCTTTTTCACACATATACAGTACTATATATACCGAATGAATTTAAATGTTGTGGCGACCGAAATGAATTCTTTGTGTTTATATAGTTTTAGACATTTGTTTACAATCATGTTTGTTTACGTGTTATGTCGTAAATAAATACTAATTTAATTAATATACGTATAAGCTTATTTTGAACGCCAACTCCACAGATTTTCTAATTGCGCTGCATTGTTGGTTTGTTTCACTGGTGTTTCTGTTCATCTATGTTAGGTAGTCCGCATGCATTGATTGAAAACAATATATTTATTGCTTCATTGTGATAGATTGTAACCATTTCCTGTTCCCATGTCTTCTAACGTATTTCTCCGCGTGAGATAATGTGTATTTTTAGCACAACAAACTTTTGTCAAATGAAATTAAAACACTTTTGACTAATATATGTAAGATTATTAGCCAGATAAGCATAAAATATTGATAATTTTTTATTTGGTATTTGCTAAATTGTAAATATGGCTAAACCAATGTACAAGGTATCTTAAAAGTAAGTATACACTTTGAATTTAAATTTGTACTTATCATAGAGCGTTCACTACTTCAAAAAATATATTATGGATAAATAGTAAAATTAAGGTATTATTTGCATTTTTCAACAACCCACAGAATGACCGCAAGAAATGAGGTGCAATATTGCTGTTTGCCAAGAAGCATATAAATCAGTAAGGCAAACCCAGCGCCTCTTTACCAAGAGATCTAGAATTAATTCGGCTCCTACCCGACGAACAACTTATGCAATTCATCGTAAATTTATGGAAACTGGATCTGTAGTTGATGCACAAAGATCAGAAAGACCAAGGAGCGGACGCTCCGAAGAAAACATTCAGAGCCGAATTCTCATCCAAATCCTCTGTTAAAGAGGCGATGAGTTTGCTTTATGGATTTACGGTATATGCTTCTTGCCAAACAGCAATTTCGCACTCATTTCTTGGGCTAATCTCCTTGTTATGTGAAAAATGCAATTAATTCCTAAATTTTACTATTTATGCATACTATGTTTTCTGAAGAAGTGAATGCTGAGTACCTGAGACCAAATCGAAATCTGAAACCCTGTATAATACGCACTCCTTATTGCGACAGCAAAACTAGGCCTCGAAAGTGTGCGTTATATACGAAGAAATGTGGTGGCTGTGCTTTTGGTGAAACCACCCAACTGTATACCTGATGAGTAGAATAGGATTTACGTTCTTCCCGGGGGAGAGGGAAGACGGCTTGAACATATGGCGAACCACGGCCTCTCGTCCGGTTACCACTCCACGTCGGGCATGGGATTGGTTAGTTATTTGTTTTCGGGAGCATGGACTTGATGAAGGAGGAAACCGTAACCGACCAGCGGTGAACCACCCTACGACGACGAGGATTCCAGCAATCCTCTCGCACATAACCATCCCTGCAGGGGATTAGAACCTGGTGGCGAGCGTATTCCTAACGCTTAGCACGATGAGCCACAGCGCCCGCCGCGTCATATAATAACTAGTAGTTGAGAACTTTAAACATAAATTTGATTAAATTATTGTATGGTAATGTTTGAATATTCGATAAAAAAAAGTTTTAGCTTGTAGATTCATCAACTACATTTGGCTTATGAAACTTGCTATTTCTTCGAGTTCCAACTATTAGGAAATACTTAAAATGACTATACAATGGTGTTTTTTCCCAAATCGAATAAAAATTGGATTTATGATCAGAGGCCCACCTAAAAGCTCATGTTGACTATACTTAAATCCCGGTTTTTATATTACGGTAGCTTTGGAACTGTTATGTGTAATCCATCGAATATTTGATCTTGAAACAGCTATTTTTTCCTCTCGAATGTCTTGGCCTAATAGGAATTATTTTAGGAGTCTGTCGACATAGTTGACTTTGTAGTCTTGCTTTTGTGCAATGTAGTTGTTGGTATGTGGGCGCGTACTATTACGGTTTTTTTTGTGCAATGTGGTTGTTGGTATGTGGGCGCGTACTTTTTAGTTTTTCTATAGTTATGCTCCCTCCCCGTATCTCCGCATATGTTTACCCTTGTGTTGTTTCAGAATTGATTCATGTCAGAATACCGGAATAGGATTGATAATCGACGTCCACTCAACGAGAAACGTCCCTCTCAAGAGTAACTATTTGAATGCAAACACTACTCAATAGTAAAGATATAAACTTATGCTGAGATATACTAGGAATTCGGCTCAAACCATATTTACAGTCACAAAATTTAATATAATATATTAAGAGCATAAACACAGGATCATAATATACTTCAACATTCAAACTAACATAAAAAAAAACTTCGTAATAATCCCAATATTTATAATGGTATACCAATTCACACCAAGAGCCGAGGAGAACAATAATACTGCTTTGGGGATTTTGAAGAATCCTGGGAGCCATGTATTTCAACATAGAGCATCTGGGAAACTATATCACATAATCATAAATGATTTACATGCTAGCGTGACATAGGCTAAGACTAGAGCGTCTAGCAAGCTTCTTTTACATTCATATGTCATGCATTGACATTTTCTTGGTTTCCGCTTGCTTGCGACATCCAGTTCCATTAAAGCAGTCAGATTACAAAATTGACAGATGTGAGCCTTCCATATTACAGAAAGAACTGCTTTTGTAAATCACTATTGTCCTTCTTAAAAAATAAACAGGTTAAAAAGCATCTCATACTACCGAAATTCAAACCAAAAATGTAGATCCTACTGCTTTACAGAAAGTCTCAATTGTGATAATATATTTTATAACATTTGAACAACATACTACACTATATGGTATGGTACTATTAGTTGAAAAATACCCGGTCCCGTCATTGAGGAGACTTGATATGACAAATGCTATAAAATGATGCAATTCTTATTATTAGAGTTTTCATTGACATGTGTGGAGTGCGGTGCACTCGTAGGACGAGCTGGTCGATGGTCAGTGCCCCTACTGGGTGATGCTTGTGCCGTTTGAGGTCTCGGCTGAACTGCATGAGCAGAACCTGATGGACTTCGCCGCTGTTCCCTCAGCTCTTCTTCATGTAATTGCAATGCGTATTCGTAACTGAATTTAAAATAAAATTAAAATGAATATTTTATGCGATTATTCAATTCAAGCATAAAAAATCACACATACTCTGATTTTTGTGGAGCTGAAGCAGTTTCTGGCATGTCTTGTTGCATACTCAAAGCAATCTGCAAATCCTGAAAAAAATACTTTCCATTATTGAAAATTGATGTGGAAATTTATCATAAGAACATCTCAAGAAATATAACAACTAGAGGAGAGCTAACATGAAAACTTTTGATAGAAATAAGAGAGAGAGAAACAGTCAAAGAAATAGAGAAGGCGCATTAGGTGCTAAGCATTAGGTATACTATCGCCACGACCCAGGTTGGCAGGTTCGAATCCAATGCGGAGTAGATTAAGTGCGAGAGTTCTGAATAACCCTTAAATTTTCATTGCTCATTGTAAACCATTTCATACAGATTTCAAATATCTAAAATGCTAAAATGAAATATGTCATGCTGCACACTAACACAAATATATATGAATTTGTGTATATCTTGAATCACTTAAGATAGGTATCTTTACTCCTGCTACAGCATCCTTGCATTATATGCATACGGATCCGCCGGCACAAAAGCATAGAAGTAGTTAGTCTGGCAGAAACCAAATCATTAGCACATGAAATATGTCGTTGTTGATTTATATTGTTTAAACAAAAGAGTGATAAAATGCTATAGGAATTTTTGAATCATTCATTTTCGATATTAATAAAGGTAAGCATATTTAAATGGCGATGTCATTCAATGGTAAAATTACATTGAAAAGTGGGGAATGGAATGGATATTTTCAAGCATGCAAAAAAAATCACTAAAACCAAAAACAACATAATTAAAGGTTTCTTTTATTTCTCTCGAACTTGGATTATACATAACACCAAAGTTATTGATCATCATAAAATTTTCCCTACTTATGACTTTAACTCACATAATCTGTATTTTGCGGACTGTTTGAAGTTTCAGTTTTAGGTGGAGTATTTAAGAAGTTGCCATCTACAAAATTTGAGTCGCCGTGGACACCAGATAAAGTTTCCCAAACAACATTGGATTCTTGCAAAAATCCAAAATCAGTAATTAGAGTAAATAGTTCGTCCTGAAAAAAATATAAAAATATGCATAACAACGATGAAGTTAACATTTACTGTTTATGTCACATGAATACCATGAGCATTGATGAAGACAAAATTCCACACCCAATTTTTTTTTTAGTTTAGATTAGGGGCGTAGCCAGGATATTCAAAAGGGGGGTTTCAAGAATAGGAATAAAAAATTGCTGTGCAACGCCTTCTAAAACAGGCGCCACAATCACGGTACTCATAACAATCGTAGGTGCTCCCGAAGTATGCAAACCAAGATGGCGGACATCGGACTGTAACATGGGTAACAGGTTAGGGTTAGGCGATAATTTTTTTCCAATTTTCCTTATTTTAGTCCTAATATCAGTTCGAAGACTAGCCAAGAGCCTCCCGTAGTATTTATAGCTAAAATTATGGCCTAACCCTAACCTAGTACACATATTACATTCCGATGTCCGCCATATTGGTTCGCATACTTCGGGAGCCCCCAATCGTAAATAAATGCAACTCTTTACCCCAGTGATCCTAGAGCATATTGATGCCGCATACCACATACCGGTAACTATTTTAGTCATGGGCATGTGACACTGAATTGATAGAAAAACATGAAATAGAATAAACTCAATAGAAAATTCACATAAAACCGAGAAACCACAGACAACAATATTATTCCGCAGCATTTTGACTGATAATTACTTGTTTTTTTATATAAGAATTGCAAACCCATTGGATCTTAGATTTTACATACCACTGAATTCAATAGAAAAAAATTATGCAAATTCTCTTGAAACCACAATCACAAACAACAATATTATTAGGTATAATACAAAATTTCGTAACAGATGATTACAGTTCTAACCATGTATTCTGAATCAATACTGAGTTTCAAATAGAAATATCGGAGCTCCAAAAGTGTATGTACCACTGTAACTAATGGAGGTAACTAATTTTGTTCGCCTAATCCACATCAAGTCGTATAAAGGGACTGAAACCTATGGGCAGGGGGTATATTCACTTAGCTAACACAGACAGTCTCTGAACTCCTAATAGAACTAAAATAAGGAATACATACTACTACGGAAGTACCAAAATTGCAATATCACTCGTTTGAGTCAACCATATTCATTAGCATTAGGCTACCAAGATTCCAAAAATATCACCCTTTGACCATAAATTCATTTAATCTACTTTCGTTATGCTAACAGTAAGTCTTTTTTAACCCATGTTGGAAAACGCAGCATATAAAACAACTATTTACCAGTACAAAGCCAAGCAAAATAAAATATCATACCTTGTGTCTGTATAATGTAGAAAAATGATTGTTCCGAAATAGAACTGCAAGATCTCCGGAATTCATTTGTTCACAGAGAGATACAATGCCGTGGCAGGTAATTTGAGAAGCAGAAGACTCGAGGAATTGCTGTGCAATCAAACCTGTGAATAAAATTTTCATCATTTAAAAATGGCTACCATATTTGTAATGCAGTAAATTTTTTACTTAGTCTCAAGTTCTAAAATCTTCTAGATATATACATGCATATATACAAACTATCTTGTTTTAGCCAGCATGATGAAATATGAGAATAGATACCGGTAAGTAAAGAATATTAAATACAACTTTCTCAATAAATCATAAAATTATTTTCTGTTTTTGACATGCATTTTGTGGGGGCCTGTTTTCAGCGAAACTCTCCTCTGAAAGTTTTTTTTATAATAACTGTGCACTAGGCATATATAGAAATTAAGAGCCTACCTTTTTCAACTGTAGTTTCATTTTCGCTTGATAAACAATTTACAATTTTTTCAACTATTTGGTTGTAGCTGTTGTTCCCTATAATATCACAAGCTCGAGAATCCTGGATAAAACAAATTGCTTTTAATATAAATAAAACATAGGGTACATTTATAAATATAGAAAAATAATTTGTCTGGTGAATGCAGAAAATTAAAATTGGATTAAAATTACAAATTGGAAAAAATTCGTATTTTAAAACTCCCCTAGATTGAGAGTCCGTATTTCAGACGTCCGATTTTGGAAATCAAAGTCAAGAATTCAGGCGGAAACTAAAAAAGCATCGAGGGACTTGGAATTCACATCAGATAACCGATGTATTATTATGCGGTATTCTCTGGGTTTGAAACTGGGGTCAGAATCAAAATTTCCTTAACACTGGCATTAGAGCCGAATCGAGAGTTGGGATTGTTACTTAAATGAGTGTAAATAGTTGGGGTGTAAATTGTCAACTACATCTGACAAAAATCAATTATTTAATTAAATATGATGGTTCAAAATCATAATGGTAAATCTCAAAACATTGAAGTAGACATGTATTCAAGTTTTTGAAACTATATGAAGTAACTTTTAGAGAAGAAAACAAAACAAATAACAGTACTACCTGGGGATCAACTAGCCATCCATGATATAATGGTATTCGCAATAGATCAAAAACAGTTAATTCCGGTGTATATTCAAATGATGCAACAGTTGAAAATTTCACATTAACGTCTAATCCTGTTTGAAGATTTGGAAATACAGACATTGCATCTGAGACATTCTGCTCATAATTTAATCGTTCTTCATCTGGTAATTCTCTTGGCATATTTTCCCATATCACATCAGCTGAAATAATGAACGATTAAAAGCTTATTATTAAAGAAAGTAATAGTATAAAACCTATGAGCAAATTCTGATGTGGGAATTTTTGTCATATTAATACAAGGTTACTCACACTCATTCAGAAATAAAAGAAACCAATCTGTGGGAGAAGTTACGGGAAACCACTGAGGTGCCAAATGTTATTTATAACCAAAATTTGCACCAATAAAATGGCAAATAGGGTACTTTACAGTGAGCCTATTAAAAAAATAAATAAATAAATGTCTGTGGCAATCATGAAGCGATTGAACATAGTAATAGTAAACCGTAAATGTGCTAAAAAACTCACATCCAAAATAATTTTAACTCGGTTAACGATTATATTTTTTTTCAGTGAAATTACAATATAAAATGGTACAAAAAACTCGCAACTTTGAGAAAAATTGATTCGACAGCCAGGGCCCATCACTAAACCTTGTAACATACTTGTGCCAATTTGTTTTTCAAAAAGTCAACAACATAATATGACATGATAATCAATATATATAAATAAAATAAGTTATTACAGAAAATCACATGATTCAATTATTTCACTCAAATTAGTCGACAAATTTGTCAACAAAAATCATAGTCACATTAAACTGGAGGTCCTTGTGCTAAATTGTTTATAATAGGCCAACAACGACATTATGATAATCAAATATATAATATGAAAAACATAATTTATTACAGAAAAACACACGAAACAATTATTTCACTCAAATTGGTTAACATATTTGTCATTAAAAAATCGAAGTCACATTGAAGGAGGTCTCGCAGTTCAGAAATGATATTTAACAAGTTTACAAATGTTTAAGTCCATTTTACACAGATAGTTTTGTTCTTGTTTTTTCTCCATAATAACATCTAAATTTATTCTCATCAATTATCAAAATATTCTTAATATTTGACATTGCATTATTAAAATGAAAAATACCGTTTCCAATACCACACCGTTTTTAAAAAACACAATAATGAGTGTGAGTGTGTGACTAATACTTAAGAGGTTCACCATTCAATTAATCATGGCAATTGAAATATTCTAAATAGCTAAATGCACATCATGAACTGTGACACATTGAGCATTATATCATCAATAAGACTTATTCACAAATATTACTATCATCATTAAAACATGAGGCTGAAACTGTAACAATGGAGTCTTTATTACCAAAGCAATTGGTTATTGGAAGTGATTGTTTTATGCTATTCCCATAGGATTGTATATAACAGAAATAAATTTGCATTGATTCACCAAAGCCCAAAAATAATTTATTATTACAAAATTTACCAAAATATATACCATTAAACTGACGAAACTAGAAACAAACAACTTTCAGACTTTTATTTAATTATAGAGGCGGATTTGTTATCATATCAACTATCAAGATCTCCTCTTATAAAATTAATTGATAAATCATATACGATAATAATATTTTAAAATATCAGAACTCACCAACATGTGCAGTTATTTGGTTAGAAGTCATGATTTCAACATCGCTTCCAAGTGTTACCTGGAAAATAATCATTTCGAAATTTAAATTACTTACTTATAAAATTGCAACTTCTGCTTAAAGTTCAAAAAGAATTACAATCATAGGACACCAAAGATGTTATCAATTGGGATCAAGATGTCATGCATCTGAAACGAATACTCGGTAACTATTTTATTAGGCTTTTCTCTCCCTCAAAAAATACGAATAAATTTGATCCTAAAAGTCATATGCTAAACAAGTGGTGTCTTGAACAACTGTTAAAACACAAATTGAGGTATTCAAAACAAGAGGTTAACATTTTTGTACTTCCCATCAATCACACATTTACATATCAAGCATTGCTGGCAGAAATCTGCTAAAAAGGATACTTCTGCAGTGTGTGCACCAGGTTAGGATTAGACCATAATTCTATTCCGATTTTTTTTATTTTAGTTCTACTCATGTTCGGGGACTGTCTGTGTTAGCCAAGTGAATATACAGATATACCACCTGCCGATAAGTTTCAGTCCCTTTACACAACTTGATGTAAAGTGGGCGAACAAAATTAGTTACCTCCATATTGGTATACACACTTTTGTAGAGCCAAAACGTTCAGAAAAATATTATTACCTTTCTTGATAACAATAGTACGTTAAATATTGCAAGTAAAGGACATGGTCCATTCTCATTCTGTGTCACAATGGGGGTTCTTTCATTTCTCCAACTAATCCATTTTACATGATACAGACTTTGCATATCATCTTTTTTAGCTGCAATTGAACTACTATTCATATTATCGATAGCGTCTGTTTCAGCAGTAACTTGTTCAGCTGTTGAACTACGATTTACATCATTATTTTCATCGGTGATAGCATCTGCTTCAACAGTAACTTGTTGCGTGTGTTCGCTAGTTGTTGGCTCTGAGCTTGTGTTATCGGCATCTTCAAAAACTCGTTTAACAACAGTCTCTCCATTACTTTGATCAGTAAATGTTTTTTCCTCCATGATAATTTATATATTATTCAGTACAACATTGATTTTTCCAAATCAAAGATGAAGATTTTCATCAATTTAAATATTCACCAATGTACAATATATATAACAGTATAACTACCACTTGAACATTTACATTAAACGCTTCTTTATTTGATATATTTTTACTATAAATTCAGAAATTATATCTATAAAAACAAATAACTAAGTTTATGTACAAAATACATCAAATTTCAAAACTTTGCTATAGCATATAAATTGAAAATGAGTTTCCATATTCAAATTTTACCTCTATGTATGAAACACATACAACATTTCAAATTTTGTCAAAATAAAACAACGATGGATAAAATTGCTTATTTGCTAGGCTTATATAGCCCAGCAGTATAAACAAAATTAATAATGTAGTATGATAATAGGTTCATTCAAAACTTAAATTTATGGTACCGGTAAGCTAGTAATTCCGCGATGCCTATTACTACAGTACTATCTTACTTAACGGTACAAACTGACAAAGCTGAAACTACTAAACTAACATACCATTCAGTCAGCCACGTACTGAAATAACTCGCAAAAACTATCACCACAACAGCATGCTAGACAAATCTACATTAATCGCTATCACCACATCCTAGGTTTCAGATTATTAGGATTGTCTTTTTACTAATTACGAGAACAAGATTTAAGGAAAAGAGAAATTCATTGCGGCCTGGTGGAAAAAAATTCCTTGCTTTTTTGCTGAAATGAATTGATTGTTATTCAATTATATTTTAGGTCAATTAAAGTGTCATTTTTTTTGTTTGGAAAACAATTGGGTGCATTGAGTTCTGATTAATTGTAAAAAGAACAAAACGAGCTCCCGAAATACCGGTATGCCAAGTGAGAACTAGAGAAAGCAGATCGGCCAATATTTATATCACGTGATTCAGCCTTCACACTCACATTAGACCGGTATGTTAGTCGTTGCATTGGACAATGACTTATTGACGTGAAATAACTTTGCTGTTTTCTGCCATTGCAGTGAAATATTCAATAATTAGAGAATAAATATGCGAAAGCAAATATATAACTTATATTGAAAGCAGAACTGTTCCATAGCGTCCATTCTTCAAATAATCATTAAGTTCCTTCCTTGTTTGTATATTAAACCACTTATCACCTTTTCCGCAATGCCCAATCTATATTTATTACAAATTTATTACATTCCACTCCCCACATTATCTTTGCATGAGGTTGTAGGTATTGGTCATTATCAACGTAATTGTTGAAAGAGAGTACAACAGCCCGAAAGTTTATTACTATCGTGTATTTTGTTTTTTAAGTTTGGCCCAAGCCTCATTTAATTGGGCTTGTGTTTTTGTGTGCGTGCTGGTGGGCAGGCACATGAGATACTTCATGTTTTAAACTTTTTTGTAGGTTTTGCTTGCCCTCCAGAATTCTCCATTTTAAATTTAGGTTTGTTATGGAGTTTTCGAAATAAACTATCTATCTATCTATCATTTAGTTGGTTTTTAATTATTTGTTATCACAAATACGTTGTATGTATGCCAGGAATCTCCAGAGGTCTTCAAGTAGAGACACCTGCAACGCTGGTACCGCCAACAATATGGGTCTACTTCACAGAGCTAGTTCAGCGCCCCCTTTTTCAGTCATGTAATGACTGCAGGGATGGGTGTTAGGGTTAGTGTCGAGTGATTAAACATTTTTTTAGTTTAGTCTGCATGAGGTTTGCTTGGTTAGTTTAATGAGAACGACGGGGACATTGTTTTATATTTCTGTATTCAATCTTACATTTGCTATTAATTAAACGCTGCATTGGATTTAGGTTATGTTTTACGAAAAAGGGATATACCTTTGTGATTCAAGAATTCATTTATATTGTTGAGGATAAGATAGCGTCATCGTACTTGGTTCTCCCAAATTCAAGTCCTGCATCTGACTTTGATGCATCGTCTAAAATTTGATATTATCATTAGAATGTTTTGGTTCACCAAAGCAACTGAACAAAACACTTGTAGCCTATTTTTCTTGGTCGGTGAGTAAGCGCGCAAAGTTTCGTGATGTTCAGCCAACATTTCGCTGATTTTCTAGCAGTCGCTTTTCGCGTTTGAGTCTTTTATAGACATAGAGACGTTCCAATATGTGTGTGTTCGGAAGAACTTATGGCCTTGAGCAGCTTTATCTAAAATGCATTACACTTAGATTAAATTTCGTACTCGTTTGTCAGATCATCATTTGGACGACGAGTTGCCATAATAACATCATCTTTCACATTGATAATAAGTACATAAAAACAATGTATTGTTGGATAATAATAAAACGCCACATATACGTCTCATTGGGGCAGGCTTTTAACACAGCAATAGAAGGGTAGCAATGCGAATGCGCCATAATTTGAAGTGTAATTATGGTAGCGATTTTTCGAAGGCGGAAATATTGCGGCCCGCGCGCTACCGGAAATGTTTATAATTGGCCCGCAAGTACATGAAGTTTGCCGACCACTGCATAACACTATTGAGCAACATGTCTGATTTCATAAACAATTGCCATGTCAGTATGTCGCAATAATGCTGGGTCAATTGTTTTCTCTACGCTCGTATAAGAATGCCTCTCATCAGTCCGACTAAGATTTCCCCAACAAAACGATACAGGCATTGTTAACTTTCCCGAAATCTTAATGTGAGGCATGACATTGTGGTTTTCATTATTGATAACTACAAAAACGAAATCGACCATATCTCAAATATGGGAACAGTTAATGGCCATCAAACAAATACAGACATCACATTAAATAGCATCACCGTCGTTTTTAGTATATTGTCAACATAAATTTCTTAATGCGTATAATTTATTGCATAGGCTTAGTTCGTTTGTATAAAGGTGGTCCGCCAAAAGTCTGATCAAGCTTTACCGGGCCGTCACTTGAAAAAGGTTGCCGACCACTGCTGTACACATTATTAGATAATTGCCTTGTCGATGTAGTAATGGTGATTGTCACATTATAATTGTATTGATTGTTATGTTATAATGTGTTTGTAAACAAGACGTCCACCTTCCACCATGTTGACTAGCGCGCTTAGTTAGGCTAACAGGAGAGCAAGTTTGGATGAGTTTTGGCTATCTGCTTACAAATCCTATTTCATCATTGGTACAAAAATTATCAAAATAATCTTGCCATTTGCATCTTCATGGCTATGTGAACACGGATTTCCTGCTCTGACTGAAATTAAAAACAAAGAAGAGAGCGACTTTCTTGGAATTGACGAAATGTGGGTGTGCTAGGCCAGGGGTGCGCAAATAGTTGGTCGCAAGACCTTCCACTCTGGGTCGCAAAACTATTTGAACTTGCCATGAATAATAGGCATCGCGTTCGGTGTATTGTGTTTGTAAACTGTCGGGTTTCTTTTAATAAAGAACTGGATTTTACTTTGCTGTTTGTTTGTCTCCATTTTACTATCCGACCTCGCTAAATTATAGTCCTATTGTCAAATTACTTATTAGCCTATTACATATTCAATTGCAAAAAGGGCTTGTTTTGGACAGAATTTTTTCTGTATCTTTTGTATTTTTCATAGAAATACCTTGAAACTACGCCAAAATGTTGTGTTCTGGCAGCTGCCCACGGTATCGGAATAATAATTTCAGAAGTGTAATAAAATATTCTTGCTTTGAACAAGTACACAGTATTTTCAACAAATATATATGCTCGCCTCAATGCTTGGATCGCGAGACATTAAAATAATATTTCTAGGGTCGCACCAAAAAGTAATTGCTGGCCGCTGTGCTAGGCAACGACGGAAACTCATTTCAAGATTATTTGGCCCTCAAAACTAGCACACTCATCACATTAACATTTGCAGAATAAATTCGTTTAAAACTATTATGTCATTTGCTTAGTGCGCCGCAAGAAAAAAAGTCTGAGAACCACTGCATTACAGGGCAGTAATGCTTTTACTTTATCGTAATAAGTTGTACTCATATGATTTTATTGCCATGTGGAATTAGAGGTTCTACAGGGGCTATTTCTGCTTGTTTAGCGATGTTGTCAATCTACTTCAGTAGCTAACCCATGACACACTGTTCACGGCTGTGATGACAATCGAATCGAAAAGCCGGAACCGCCTCTCTGTGCCGAATGCGCGGTCATCAAGTTATTCCTCTTATTAACTCGTGGAGAATAAACAATCATATTTATTTGATTGAACCTATTATTAGATTTCGTCCAATTTTATCTTGTTTCAAGCCTTGACCTAATTATCGCGAACACTGGGCGAAATGTTCTAATGATATGCGAGGAAAAAAAGTTTGTAAATCTTTGTGTGTTAAGAGGTGCTCAGTTCGAACCACCAACAGTAAAACAAAATATGAGCCATACCAAGAAATTGACTTTATTTTTTTGCAATATTGATTTGTGTGACTACTATATATTCGAATGCCGGACGCAAAAGTAAGTTTCTGCTGATTTCGGTTGCTTTTTAGTAAGTAGAAATAATTATTAACGAATGGGAATGAATGTAGGGCCTTCCCTACCAATTGCTAGAAATTTTTAAAAAGCTGAAACGAAAAAATATGCCAAAAATCAAAGTCGTTTACTTTAAAGTTTCAATATAACACCTTCAGATATTACTTTCCTAAATATTAATAGTCAAAAATAATCCACTACTATGATCGAAAAAATTTCTGGAAATCATTACTGAAAAATTTTAATTGCGTTCAACGCGAGCATATTACAAAATGCTTCAAGTTTTTAAAAAAAAGAAGTATCGGTAATAAATAAAATAAGAACATTATTCAAGGACGACATGGAAAAGGCATCAATAAATTAGGAAATTCAGATTGTACTCGATTCTGTATGTACTCGACAAGTACTGGTTCTTATATAAAACCTTACAAATGCAAGAAAGCTAGAAGAAGTATATTTGTTTCAAATTGTGCCTACGTGAACCTATCATTTTAATTTACTGATCAACTATTCATTCAAACAAGTCTTCCATTTGATTTATAAGATGATTTCTATGTCATGCAAATGACATTTACTATGAACTTATTATAAAGTGACTTTATTTCTGCAGAAGAGTAAAGATATTTACAGCTTTTTTGTAAATTCAGAAAATATATAAAGGATAGTGGGTGTGAAGGAATGTTTTATAGTATATATCAAATAGCCTTATTCGTTTTTCCATCTTTT